ATAATATGCTCGCGTTTCATATGAAACGTTTCTGTTGCAAAAATAAGTGAAATCAATATGAGACCTTGGTAGTTTTCCCTTTCGCGGAATATCGGATTTCTGTTGTTTGTACTATTTATACTACATATATCAACTTCCATCATTGCTTCAATTCTAATCTTATAAATCATGGAAGATTACCTTAAAGACTTATCTAATCTATATTTTAAACGGTTATGGACATCTCAATCTATTAAAATTTGACTGAAAACAATTTAAAAACTTGTAAACATAATTAAATCGGCGCGTGCACGCGCATCCGCTTTCAACTATCATAAATTATAACGCAATATAGGTAACTCGTTCATACAATTCTAGAGTATTTGGTTAAATCATGAATTATTTCATTGAATTTTAGGGACCGATTCTGCCGCATAACAGACGAATGTTTTGGCAAGGCTATGTTATGAAAAACTTTCCATACAAATTTGTTATAAATATTGACAACAGCCATGTGGTTACTGTGCAGTCGGGCGATTTTCTCAGAAACCGCACAAATGTCAAAAAAACGATCTTGGATAACAGGATCTTTCTGACCCAGCTCCATAACATACGAGTGACGTTGCAGTTTATGTGTAAAACGCCCGAATGCACAGCAAATACATGACATTTTGATAGTATTGAGTATGATTCAGTAGCATAATGTATGCAAGTTGGACCGTTACATGGCCTTGCCATAACATTGTCTGTTATGCGGCAAAATTGATCCCTTAATTTTTAAATCTTTTGCTTTATATTATATCAATAAAGTTACATAATCACAAGATTACACTTTGTTGACAAGTCCAGCATGTAAACAAAAAGTGTAGAAAACAAAGTTATTTGAAAATTTTCAATAATTTGTTTACTACTGAATACAAGATCTGTCTTATTACATACCTACATAAAATATATACTACGCGTATCTAAATATAACCGACGCACGTGTATTAAAATTACGAAGAAAAACACGCGCATATCATACGTATATAAATTTGTTTACATGCTCCATCAATTTATTTCGATTAATTTTAATATAAAGATAATTAAATTTATATATATATATATATATATATATATATATATACGAGTTTGATTGTGTTGACAAAATATAGAGAAACTAATAGGGTTAATTGTTTTTATAATACCTCATTGTATATAGCATTCAAACAACGCATTTCGGATTCTTATACACTTAAATTATTAATATTTTTGATTCTCTAGAAATTGTTTAGAATATACCTTACTTAGCAAAACAATGTTTGCCGGGTCAGCTAGTATATATATATATATATATATATATATATATATATATATATATATATATTAAATGTTAAATATGAACAATACAGCATTCAGATTTTTAACAGACACTTTATTTGGTAATTACAGACGTTTCGAAACCATGGTATGCCTCATCTTCAGTGTAATTTCAATACAGTTACTTACATACTGCATATTCTTTAATCTTTTATTTAAATTACATTTAATTTTTGAAAATACAAAAAATACCAACTATCACTTATAGTTTGACACAGTACTAAAACATAATATACATAATATATATATATATATATATATATATATATATATATATATATATATATTTGAATATTTTTGAAAGATTAAATAGAACTTTTTTTATTCCATTACACGTTTCGACACTTCATGTGTGTCATCATTCAGTAATCTAAAAAACATATTAGATAAATACAAAAGTTGATAATAAATATAAATATATGAAGAAAAGAGAAAATTATATACATACCAAACCAGGAAAAACAACAGAAAAAAATGAAATATGTACAATTTATTGAACACTAAATTGTGTAAATGAATAATATATTAATATTTTAATAAACGAGGAATTAAAGGAGCACATATTGCCCTTCTATATTGTATGCGTTCAATAGCATTGCATTATAAACATTGATCAAGGTTACGAAGCACGTGTGGCGAGTGAGTGGGAGCGGGGTGTGAGAAACAAAAGAGGAATGAGAAACGGAGAAGGGATTCTAACACTGAAAAAGAATTACTTTTCATGAAATTTATAATGATTTTGTAACTGTTATGTATGAGATGAGAGGAATTACGTTTGTTGACACAAGAAGTATTAAGGGGGTATTCTAGTGTAGAGCGATGATTTTTAGATCATTTTTAAAGTGTCGTAAAAGAAAGCAATGAATGTTTTTACTATCCATTTTTTTACCACTTGTTTATTAATATTATTAAAATACAAAAGGAAATTTAAAAAAAAAAGTTGAAAATTGAAGAAACTGGCAGCTGATGAAGTGAGGGGTCTCAAAAAATCGGCACCTCAGTCTTGTCACGATTTCAGCCCTCCTAGCCATCGGAAATGTAAAAAATAAAACGATTATTAATCTACAATGATGTTGCAATCGCCCGAACTAGCGATGAGTAAAAGAAAATTTTTTTCACAAATTGGCGACTGTTTAAAAAAAAGTGTCTTTTTTATTGTTTTTTGAATTTCTCGAATTTTTTAAATATAGTAAAAATTGGAATTTGGGGAGGATGCTAGTTCGGGCTATAGATAGTTCTATAAACAACTCTCTGAACATTTCAAGTGAATCGGTCGAGTAGAACTCGAGAAATCGTGTCAACAGTACTGAAAAAGTCTGCTCTGAGAAAAACGCATTTAAAGTTTTGCACGAAGCCAAACGAGTATGGAGACCGAGTCAGTAAAATGCCTTTATCTCCGAAAATAATACAAATTTTCAAAAACCTTCTCGTACCCATATTCTTAGATAGTTAAACTTTGTAAATATGAAATAAAAAATAATCGATTTTTTTGAACTTCTACACTAGAATATCCCCTTAAGGGATATAAGTAACGACTCAACTATCTTTCTAAGGTCACATTTTTTTCCAATGTACAGGATGGTAGGATTTGTCATGGTAAAAGTATGGTTTAAGGTTAATCATATGTTCTGATAGCATGGTTTTGTATTGATTTGGGTTTCTAGAATTATATTGGGTGTACGAGTATATATTGGGAACTTTCCCCAATGTAACAACTATTGCAATCATTGCAGTCCAACCTGTAAACCGAATCAGTAACACTATCAATTTTTTCTGAAGTATGCCAAGAAGTTTAGAAACCTCTGAAACGTGAAGATATGCAAAAAATTTCATTTTCGATTTTCGGCTCATTACTATAACTACCCTACGGGAAGTTAATAAATATTAAAATACAATGTAGATTATTTCAACCGTCAGAGGATTCGCCAAAAGTTCGCTTTTTTGAAAAGGCTATAGAAAAACTACTGTATATTAATAACGGTAAATAATGAAAAAAAATGAATAGAAAAGTTAGATAGCGGACTCTTTATAATATTCACTGTACGATTTATTTATATATGAATCTCGATGCATAAATAGACCTCACACTATTTCTACTTTGGCTGATCTTCTCAAGTTCAACAATGTGCTGATGCAGCAGCTTTATTCCTGCAACTCAGCACTATTTTTCCCCATCGACCCAATTTCTTTTCCCAATGTCAAATTATAATATTATCATCATCATATGACTTTTTCAAGTTCAATGTTGATAACGATCGCCCAGTTTCGGTTTGCTGACCTTTTTCTCTGACCTTAACCACATACAATTTCAGTGACGACGACTTTTAATTTGTAATTTTCTCATGTTTATAAAATATTCACGAAAAACAAAACAAACATGGAAAAAATAATATAAACTTAATCGTAGGTACTTGTTTGAACTGAAATTATTATATGGTTGCAGTGTGTAATTTTCGACTTTTGTGAGGATATTATATTTATTATTCATTTGATGACATACATACACTCAATAAGGTGTATTTTTTGTTTGAATTGTTTTTGTAATGTTTTATGTGTGCAGTAAAAAGTTGTAATAGGCAGAAAATGGTTTAGTTTCTAAAAAAATAGAGCGAATTTGTTTTGCCTCATGTAAGTTTTTTTTTTATTTATTTATTACAGTCATATTGCAAATATTTCATTCACAAAGTGATCTAAATGTAATAATATATTAATACAAACACACATAAAAAATAAATCATGTCACTTTATGTAAGTTAGATTGTTTTATGTAAGTTAATTAAAAATAAAATTGCTAATAGTGTTTGTTTGACGTTGAAATATTTTTTAAATTTTTCACATTTCTACAAATTACATAATATTATTAATTTAATTTAATTTTAATTTGGCTGAAATTGCCAGAATAAAGAGAATATATTTCAAGAATTTTTAAAAATATATTGACTTGCTGAATGATGACACACATACAGCGTCGAAACGTACCAAATAAATAAGAAATCTTGCTGAATGATGACACACATACAGTGTCGAAACGTACAAAATAAATAATAACAAAATAATATTGTAGCATATTGTATTTGGGCAGTTCGGCTGAAGTTGCCAAAATAAAGAGAATATGTTTCTCAAGAATATCTTTACTGCTCTTAAACTTTTCTCCATATGGCTTTGTTGAATGATGACATATATAAAGTGTCGAAACGTACCAAATAAACAAGAACAAAATCATACTTTAGCATATTTCATTAAGGAAATTTGGCTGAAATTGGCAGAATAAAGAAATATGTTGCTCAAGAAATCTCAAAAATATTAGTATTAGAGTATTACCTTTGGACTTTTTTATATGGTTTTGCTGAATGATGACGCACAAAAAGTGTCGAAACGTACAAAATAAATAAGAACATCATGAATATCTTAACATATTCCATTTTAACAATTTGGATAAAATTTCCAAAATAAAGATAATATTTTATCAAGAAAACCCAAGAATATATTTATTACTCTTGGACTATATGTTCTTGGTGAATGATGACACACATACAGTGTCGAAACGTACAAAATTAAAGTTTTTTTATTTCATTTATCTGTATTTTTATTATAAATATATACACATAATTTTATTTAAATTTTAATATTTAAAATAATTAATATATTTTTTTTTGTTTCAGACTGTCGTGTCATGTATTGTGATATTTTTCTTCGCTTTAGTTGTGATCTCAATTGCATATTTAAATAAGGCTAAACAAAGCGGTAAGTAACATTTTATAAATAATATATATATATATATATATATATATATATATACTTAATATATTTAAGTTTTACTTATTCATTGCATTATTTAAGAAATGCTAAAAAAATGTTTAATAACGAAATTTTAAACCTGTGGTTAAAAATAAGAATTTTACTTATACTTATACATATATAAAATATAAATGAATATATAACTTATAATTTGAACCTTTACCCTGAATAATACTAGGGTTTTTATTATTAATATTTTTATCTATTATTTTTACGCTCATTCATAAAATGATAAAAAAAAAATATTTTCAGTCTGAAAATAATTTTAGCTAGTTTTTAGCAGTAGTTTCATAAGTTGACAAGAGCCTGAAATAATATTCATTTTTAAAATCTACTTTATTTCCAGACAATCTACAACATTTATAAACAATTTAAAAAATCTTAAGATAACATTTTAGATTAGATAATATTTTTCAGATAATTTACAAGTTTTTATACAATCTACATTATTTTCGTACATTTTACTACATTTTTAGACAATCTACAATATTTGTAGATAATTTAGAACATTTTTTACGTTTTGAAACATTTTACAAAATCTTTAGATAATTTACAACATTTTAAGAAAATCTACAATTTTTGCAGACCATATTTATAGGCATTCTACAACATTTTTAGGAAATCTACAAGATTTTTATATAATATACTACATTTTCATTAACAACATTCTACTACATTTTAGACAATTTACAAAATTTTCAGGCAATTTACAATATTTTTAGACATTTTATAACATTTTTAGATTTCTTACAATATTTTCGTACAATTTACAAAATCTTCGGGTAATTTACTACATTTATAGACAATCTGCAAGATTTTTAGACAACTTTCAACGTTGTTAGAAAATTTAGAACATTATCACATTTTTACAAAATTTTCATAAAATTTACAAAATTTTCATGAAATTTACAGAAACTTCAGATAATTTACAACATTTTTAAAAAATCTACGACATTTTCAGACAATTTGCAGCATTTATAGACAATCTTCAATAATGCGCAAGATTTTTATACAATTTACAAAATTGTTAGACAATTTAGAACAATTTATACAATTTACAAAATTGTTAGACAATTTAGAACTTTGTTAGTTTTTTTCAGCATTTTCAATCAATTTACTAAGTCTTCAGATAAATTTTGGACATTTTGAAATAAAATGTTTAGAAAATCTATAACATTTTCAGCCAATCTATAATATTTTCACTCAATTTCTATTACCGTTTCTCCACGATCGTTAATAATTTAGTCGTTATTAAATAAAAATTCTAATTCAACCTTACTATTGATCTTTTGAAGATTAACAGTGTAACATTCTATCTTATTATATTAAGTAATAAATGTATCTTTATCAATCGGTCTATCAAAATGTGGCGCATCTATTAAAATTTGTGGATTGAATTTTTAAAAGTCACTTCTGGGTATCAACACATATTTTTTATACACGTTGATCAATCTTTTTCTTTTTGGAACTTCATTTTAAGATTTCATATATTTAAATAGATAAAAATGAAAAAAAAAAGTCTTTGCACATTGTATATCAATAAGCTCATCGAAACTTTCGACGTCACAATCTAAGGACATAGAAGTTGCGCTTGTAAAAAATCATTAAATCTTATATGAAAGCAAATAACTTGAATCTTTCTACAGAGTTGAAGATACTCTACTGTTTTAATCAATTATTTATTTATTTATTTATTTCTTGATTCTTTAAATTTTTATTCCTTTTTCCCTTTTCTGCAGATATGCAGCCTATGTCTGCAATGAGCAGTATTAGTTTGCAGAACTCCTCTCTCAGGTTTCGGAAGCGAGACAAAATGCTGTACTACGGCAGGAGAATGCTGAGAAAGGTCAGTCAGAGTCAATTCAATTTCATCTAAATGTCAATAATACTAAGACATGAGTGATATTTGAACAGATTGTATTATAGATTTAACGTCTGGACAGGCACGCATTGATTCTTAGGAACCGATTCTGCCGCATAACAAACCAATGTTATGGCAAGGCTATGTTATGAAGAACTTTCCATACAAAATCGTTCTAAATTTTGACAAAAGCCATGCAGTTGGTGTGCAGTCAGGCGTTTTTCGCAGGTTGTCAGATATAAAACACAACTTAGAACCCGCACAAATGTCAAAAAACGATTTTAGATAACAGGGTCTTTCTGACCCAGCTTCATAACATACGAGTGACGTTGCAATATATGTGTAAAACGCCTGAATGCACAGCAAATACATAACATTTTAACAGTGTTCAGTATGATTCAGTAGCATAATGTAGGGAAATTGGAGCGTAACATGGCCTTGCCATAACATTTGTCTGTTACGCGGCAGAATCGGTCCCTTAGTAATCTAATTCAATAGCAAACTAGTTGCAAGTGGCGTAGTGCCTTAAGGCAAATTGCACAAACTTCCCGTACCGTAATGAATTATTCGAAAGTTTAATATTTTTTGTTTTCATTAGTTTTCAAATTGATTATAAATACTGTAACTTTCATTGTTTTTGCTATCTTGTTATATCTGAGCAAATCAAATGTAAATCATAAATCATAAATCAATTTGTCTCCAGAACATTAACAATCGTCATTTCATTTCGAATTCAATTTCAAAAAAATAGTTTAGTTGCCTAATTTACACAAAAAAATGAAAAAGTGCTTCCGTATAGTCACAGTCTAAACGCATTTGCAAATAATTTTGTGCGACATTTTCACTTATACTGTGCTTTGCTTGGCGACATTTTTACATTTTTCAATAGTTGTCACAAAATTGGAAAAGTGCTCTCCAGTACATAAGCAGTCTAAACGCACTTGGGTAAACATTTGTACCAGAGTGGCGCTTAGACTGTGCTTAGCCTGAGTAATTTTTTCAATTTCTTCCAAAATTACATTTTTAAAAATTTTCATAATTGAAAAAGTGCTCCTATATAGTCACAGTCTAAACGCATTTGCAAATAATTCTGTGCGACATTTTCACTTATACTGTGCTTAGCTTGGCGGCATTTTCACATTTTTCAATAGTTTTCACAAAATTGGAAAATTGCTTCAGTAGATAAACAGTCTAAACGCACTTGGGTAAACATTTGTACCAGAGTGGCGTTTAGACTGTGCTTAGCCTGGGTAATTTTTTAAATTTTAATCCAAAATTATATGTCTATAAGTTACATTAAATTCGAAAAGTGCTATAGTGTAGAAACAGTCTAAACGCACTTGCAAATATATTTGCGCTAGCTTTTCACTTAGACTGTGCTTAGCATTGATATTTTATTTAATTTTTAACTCAAAATTAAATTTCTATTATTAACATAAAATTGGAAAAATGCTTCAAAAAACAGTCTAAACGCACTTGCAAATGTATTTGCAAAAGGTTGTCATTTAGACTGTGCTTAGTTTGAGTAATTTTTTGAATTTTTAACCAGAAATTACATTTTTATGATTTACATAAAATTGGAATAGTGCTACCGTACAGAAAAAATCTAAACGCACAATTGTTTGAATTTTTAATCCGAATTTTATTTCTATAATTGATTTATCTAGAAATAAAATTAATATCCTAATCATTTTGAATATTAACAAAAATAGTAAATTATAAGAAAAATTAAATAAAAGAAAAATGCGTTTTTCAAAAACTAATTGTTTCTTCTCACTGTCAAAACAAGCAAAGTGTTATTCGAATCATTTAAATCAATTGTTTTGTTCTATCAAAAACTACCATTTTTTGCACATTTAGCACCATATCTGCGAAACAGCTGGACCTGCCCTTGCCAGAAACTAATCACCACTTTTCCCTATAATTAAGAATTGAATGTTTTTCGAATCATTCAAATCGGATGGTTTATTCTCTCAAAAACTCCCGTAATCACGAAAAATTGTATCCACTCAAAACATACACACACATAGCCACACACACACACACACATCCATTTTTTCTTGTATGCCAAAATGTTCAGAAACTCTGAAACGTAAAGACATACAAAAAAATTTTTGATTTTCGGCCGATTACTATAACTTACCCTACGGGAAGTTAAAAATCTAGGACACACAAATATTACTTTTACTTTACATTATTTCAACGTCTTTTATTACATTTTCAGGTGAAATCAATATCGGGCCATGCATATGGCGGACAGGGTAAAAAACGAAAAATAGTTATGAGGTTTGCCCGAAGACTGCTGCAACTTCAAAAAGACTACACTCCAGTTCACCTAAAAGTATGCCTTTGGATAAATAATTAAATCTATTATCAAATGTTTATGATAATTTTGTTTTTGTTTTTAATTTAAGGTTCTGGAGCCTCCTGCAGAGTATCTCGAGGAGGAAAAAATATCAGACGCACACGTTCCACCTGATGCTTTGTACATGTTGCAAAGTATTCGAGTTTTTGGACATTTCGATAAACCAGTATTTCTGAGGTTGTGCAAACATGTTGAAATTGTATCGTTGAAGGAGGATGAGTTTTTGTTCCAAATAGGTAAAAGAAACATGCATTTTTTTTGAGTGTGTAGCTTGCAAAATTTTGCTTAAAAGTAATAATCGGATTGAAGCTGTTTCGAGAAATCATTCTACAAACAATTTGGCAAAAGCCTTTGGAATATTTATGCTTCAAATTTTTACATCGATATCAGTAAATACTGACCAGAAGTCGATTAGCTTTCTTGTACTTTATTGTTTAAAATTTAGACAAAAATCTGATGTATTCAACAGATACAATTACATCATTATTAGGGAAAAAACTTCCATTACATTTTACACATCCGGATATTTACATAAATGAGTAATTCAAATGAATAAATTACCCAACAATTATTTCAACGAACAAATCTTCTATATATATAAAAATAAGTCGGGTTTTCCTTCCTGACGATATAACTCCAGAACGCACGAACCGATTTCGACAATTTTGCATTCGTTGGAAAGGTCTCGAGCTCCGCAAGGTTTATAGCTAAGAAAATTAGTTGTGCATGGCATCGTGCCTTAATGCAAGCTGTAGGAACTTCGCGCACCGTAATTAAAAATTCGAGTAATGACATTAGTGAGAATTATCAGAATTATGCTTGGTTAAGTCAACGAGCAATTCTTGCCGCAAAGAATAATGATGTACACGAACTGAATTTCACCATTCCATCAAAAATTGCTGGCGATTTGGTGACATACCAATGATTCTGACTGGTCTTCTGTTTGACTTCAAACGATTGCGATTTTCAGTTCGCCTTGCGTTTGCAATAACAAGTCGCAAGGCCAATCGCTTAGCGTTTGCGGGATAAATTTCAAATAGATTATTTAGAAAATCATTGTTTTTCACATGGGCAGTTATACGTTCCCTGTTCACGAGTTAGGAAACCATCCGCTTTGTTTGTGTTAACGTCAGACCATAAAACAAAAAATGTGGTTTACCAAAGAGCACTTCAATGAAACGGATAATTTGCGGATTCACTTTCATTTACTTAGAGAAGTTCAACTAAAAAACACTTTATTTTTGTAATCGAAATAAATGCATTACTGTTGTATAATAAAATCACATTTTTCCTTTTCAAATATAAAACAAACAAAAAAATTTTTCATCTTTCTCACGAAACCATCTGGTGGCGAAACGGAGTTCGTCGGGTTTGCTAGTTATTTATAAATTTAATTACATATTATTTTTTTTAGGTGATGCTGATGAAAATGTCTACGTCGTCCAGAGTGGTCTTTTGAATGTGACAGTCACCTCACAGGAATCTGGTATATTGTCTTTGAAATATGTCAGGCCTGGTGATTCTGTTACATCGCTCCTGAGTTTTACCGATTGGCTTACAGTAAGTTAAAAAAAACCTAGTTGAAAGTGGCATTTAGCCTTATACACATCTCTTTTTTTCAGGGTCATCCTAATCCTTATAAAACCATATCAGCAGTTGCGATGGAACCATCTCAAGTTATAAAATTGCCAATGTCTGCTTTTCAAGATATTTTCAAAGACAGCCCTGATAGATTTGTTCGGGTCATGCAGGTAATAAAATAAGAAAAATTGTAAAAGTAATTCTCTTTAAAACAAATCTTATTTATTTATATTCTTTATTTTTTATTTGTAGGTTATAATGGTACGACTTCAAAGAGTCACATTCACTGCGCTTCATCAGTATTTAGGATTAAGTTCTGAGCTCATAACATCTGTAAGTGTAATAAATAAATAAATAAATTTTTGTGTTATGCTATTGATAAAATTATTTTGCAGTCATCAAGTACTGGAGGTAAACGTAAGGTATCTCATATGCCGACAGCTGGTTTCTCTCCTGGTTCTCACAGATTGACCAGACAAACCACCAGGGAAAGACAGGACTACCGTGAGTATAAACTAGTTGGTATTAGTATTTTGTCTTGAGGCAAGTTACATGAACTTCCCGATATGTGTAAATAATAGACTTATTCAATAAAAAATAAATTAATTTATGAGTGATTAAAAGTATTCCGAGTCGATTTATTACACATAATTGAATACGAACGAACACGTCAACTCGGAGTATTTTCTGAAAGCAAATTTTCACAAATCAATAATCTTTATAATTGAACCAGTTTTCATAGGACTTTAATGGTTTAGTACGTTCATTAAGACCAAGTACTCTATCGTTATACCAAGTAAATTGTCTACTTTCAATTTTAACAAAAATCAAAAAAACTACTCATGTTCTCAAACTATGATGAATTTCTAAAATTAAATTACTTGTTGTGAGGTCGTAATGTTTCAGTAAATTCTATAAGACCATGGTATATATATTCAAAAAAAGTTCCATAAATCAGCTTAAATTTTTTTCAACAGTTAGTTACAAGAAAACGGCTCGGTAGATTTTCACTTGAAACTAATCAGTATCATTTCCAACTAATATCTTTCGAACAGTTTTTGATTTTTATTTCTATTTTGATTTTGAGTCTGGTATATTGTCGTTGAAATATGTTAGGCCTGGTAATTTTGTTACATCTCTTTTTCATTCGTGAGACGGCTCGGCAGATCGTCGCACAAAACTGACAAACTATAGTTCTCATTGAGATGCATCAAATGGCTTTTAAATTTCTGAAATCGGTTCAGGTGTTTTTGAGAAAACGTCGATCAAAGGTTTAATTTTGACAAAAGCCTGAAAAACCATACTAATTTTTGCGAACTTTGACGAATTTTTAAAATTAAACGACTTGTCGTAGGACCGTAATGTTTTAGTATGATCTATAAGACTATGGTATCTACCGTAAAAAATATCACAATAAACGTCGAAATTTTTTTTTAACACTTTATATCAAGAAAACGGCCGGGGTCGAACGAAAATTTTTTCACTTTTCTGCGATTTACAAAGAAACGCTAGTCCTCATCGAAATACATCGAATGGCTTTCAAAATTTTGAAATCGGTTCAGCCGTTTTTGAGAAAACGTCGATTTACGGCAAAAAATCTGTTCACACACATACACACACACAAACTTTTTCCAAATTTGGTCTTATTCGATTCAGAATGGCCTGAAACGTCGAGAAAACATAAAATTGGCGAATCGGATTTTTTTATGAAAACATAAACTTCTTCTTCGGGAAGTTAAATATTAATAATTCATAAAACAAGTATAATATTTATACATGTTTTCCTATTGCAGATGAACCTAGTCAAAGCCGGATATCAAGAATTCCATCAGACTGGCACGAAGGATGTTAGTAATAAATAATTTATACCTCAATAGCGATTAGTTTTTATATGAATATTTTATATTTTCAGATACTCATCACAGGTTGTCTATGTCAGGTCCTGAACACATGCCAAATTTAGATCAACTTCTTAACCCACCGTTAACGGTATGGAAATAAATTACAACTTATCACTTTGACCAAGTCTAACCGTAATTCTATTTTTCTACTCTTCAGCCAACTGATCATATGACAGCATCACTCGATGGTACCCAAACAGGCAGCACAACTGTGACCTCGTCACAGCAGGAACACCATGTCTCGACTGGTGATGCTGGTACGGGAACTCAGGATTCGTTGCCTCATCAACCGTCTTGTGATGCTGAAGTCATGAAGGCTGCTGTTGAAGGGATTGCTAGAGAATTGGGTAAGAATGTAAAAGAATATTTTTATTAACTTCCCGTAGAGTAAGTTAATAAACTAGGGCTGCATGGCATTGTGCCTTAAGGCAAATTTTTTATTATTTTGTCACTTTTTGTCAGGTCTTAGTGGTGATAGAAGTCTGCTCGAAGGCAGAGTGGAAGTTAGAGACGTAAGTGCTGGAACTGTGCTGATGAGGGAAGAAAGTGCAAAGGTAATAACTATTTATGATATTGTCCTTGTATTATTTTAAAGTCTTCTTATATAAATTTCCAATGTTCATACTTTGGTGTAAGAAAATAATTCTTTATATTGGTGAAGGTTCTCTTCAAATTGCTTAATGTTCTAAAATTATAACTAACTTTATTATTATTATTACAATTAATTAATGAATTTTAGTTTATTTCTATTTTGTCACAATGAAATTATTAGTTTTATTATACTAAAAAATTTATAAGTTGAGTAGATTATATATTTAATCCTGTATTGTTTTTATTTACTTCAATTTAGATTGGAGAGTTTTTGCCACATGTTAGATATCAGCAGCAGGTATAGGATTTTTTTTCGTGGGGTTAATATAATTATAATATAACATTCGAATGCTGCTAGTATCACTAACATATTTACTTTACGTAGATTTATACAATGTCATTTGCATGTCTAATATTACTAACAAAACTGTAACCATTTTTCTAACTAAGTAATCATCTACATCCAAAAATAATCTATTATATATTATATAGAGCCATCGATAATTAAAATGCTTGCAATATACTCATTCATTTCCGAAACTAGGTGTAAGTGGTATTTTGGCATTAAGGCAAGTTGCATGAACTATAACTATTTGACTCAATCAACGAGAGTAGAGATTTAACAAATATAAATAATAGTTAAATCGAGTCAAACTATCACTGTTTTATCACTGACAATGAGATAATAGTTTGTCAGCTACATTATGAAAAAATACTTATAAATCTATTAATATAAACACAATCATAATATCTAGTAATATTTGTCTCAGATTTGAAAGTTGAATTAAGGAGGTACTCTAGTGTTGAGGCATGAATTTCAAGGCATTTTTAAATCATCGTGAAAAAAGCAATCCATTTTTTTGCTTTTGTTTTTTTTTCATAATCTTCTATATATATAAAAATAAGTCGGGTTTTCCTTCCTGACGAAATAACTCCAGAACGCACGAACCGATTTCGACAATTTTGCATTCGTTGGAAAGGTCTCGGTTTCCGCAAGGTTTATAGCTAAGAAAATTAGTGGTGCATGGCATCGTGCCTTATATGATGTACACGCATTGAATTTCACCATTCAATCGAAAATTTCTGGCGATTTGGTGACATACAGTCCGTTTGACTTCAAACGATTGTAATTTCCAGTTTGCCTTGCGTTTGCAATAACAAGTCGCAAGGCCAATCGCTTAGTGTTTGCGGGATAAATTTCAAATAGATTATTTATGGCAGGCAGTCATTCGTTGCCTGTTTACGAGTTGGAAAACCATCCGCTTTGTTTGTGTTAACGTCAGACCAAAAAACAAAAAATGTGGTTTACCAAAGAGCACTTCAATGAAACGGATAATTTGCGGATTCACTTTCATTTACTCAGAGAAGTTCAACTAAAAAACACTTCATTTTTGTAATCGAAAGAAATGCATTACTGTTGTATAATAAAATCACATTTTTCCTTTTCAAATATAAAACAAACAAAAAAATTCTTCATCTTTCTCACGAAACCATCTGGTGGCGAAACGGAGTTCGTCGGATTTGCTAGTTTATTTATAAACGTTACAAGAGTACAGAACAAAAGTGAACACAAAAAAGCCTCCTAGTAATCTGCAATAAAAAAATAAAAAATATTATTAATCTAGAATGATGTTGCAATGGCATTTATTAGGATTAATGGGGATTAATGGGGCATTTATTAGGATTTAATTCTGCCGTAACAATTTGTCGTCATAAAAGTTGTTATGGCTATTTTATATTGGTAGTAAAAATCATGAAAATGTCTACCTATTTACTGTGCAATCAGGCATATTTTACATATAAACAAACCAGGAATAAAATATGATAACAGAATTCTAGATGGTGCAGTTATCATAAGATTCTTCCTTGCTTGTTTATATGTAAAACACGCCTGATCGCACAGCAAATAGATAGACATTGAATATATGAAGAAAAAACAAAAATAAAACAATTTTTTGGAATCTCTACACTAGAATACTATTTATTTTTAAAAATATTCAACATTTACCAAAAACTTAATACTTTATGACTATATAAAAATATAAATTCATCCTTTATCCATTTATCCAGGAAATTGGTCTAATATACGTCATGTCAGGACACCTGACAGCAACCCAAAGACCTCTATCATCCCTCGCCCTGGCCAACACTGGTCCTTGTATGGCCGGAGGTGTGTCCATGGGTACTCAGAGTGGTGGTTCTGGTGCAGGAACCTCGGGTGCAGCTGGTGCCTCTCCTGGACCTCCTGAAGTTCACATGTTCAGTGCATACACTGGTGAGATGATTGGAGGATTGGCGGTGCTCACTGGGGAACCTAGTTTCTTCAATATTAAGGCGAAACATTCGTCGAAGATTGCTATTGTTTCTAAGACTACTTGCTATACGTAAGTGATAATGGAAATATACATATCCTAAATTTTCCTTATCCTGATAATGGAAATATACATACTCTAACTTTTCCTTATCATTCTTCCTTGGTACTAAACTCGTATCACAGTGAAAATGTCTATGCATTTGCTGTGCGATCAGGCGTATTTTACATATAAGCAAACCTAGAAAGAATGTTATAAAAACATCTATGTGACGCGGATTTATAACATACTATTTTATATATAAAATACGCCTGCTCGTACAGCAATTAGATAGCACTAGGGTTTGTCGGTTTTCAAAAACCGGTTTTTTGGCGAAAATTATGGATTTCGAAAACCGGTTTTTTAGTGAAAAAAGTCGGTTTCCACTGTAGAAATAGAAAATGACAAATATAGCCAAATATGAAAGATAGATGAAAGCGTTTTGATTCTAGAAATCATATCGGTTCAATAGCATTTCATATCTTATCAGTCTGCAATGGTTCCCAGAAAGGTTTTATATATATATATTAATTTAGATTTTTATACCAGTGTATATATTAATTTAAATCAGTGTGACTTCTTCTTGAAGAAGTAACTTACTCTACTCAAACATAAAAAAAAAGTTTTAAACCCTAAAGGCCACAAATTAAAGAACAAAAAACTAATAAAGAATTATTATATCAGGCTTTAAAAACGATTAAGCATTATTTGGTTGCAAGTATGAGAGTATTTTCTATTTTAGAAAATTTTGTGAGTTAACAAAAGACACGTCTAAGTAGCAATTCGATAGACGTTCTCAGTTTTTTGAAATCATATTTTATTAAACAAAAAAACAATTAGAATGTTTAAAATTAATTGATTAAAATTGCTCGGAACAATACCTGAGTTTAGTTTTATTGTTTTTAAAACTAAAATTGATATTAACAAGTATGTATCTAATATTTTTTTATTTTTTTTTTTAATTTAATGAATTTTTGTTGCTTATTAATGTATTATTTTTATTTATTCAAAAACTTCCCTTTCGTTATCATAAAAATATTTTCATTCTTTTATGTGAAAATGATGCATGAGTAGCGAATAATTATTTTCAAAGTTATATCAAGATAAATTATTATTTTTTAGTTCTACTAATTAAAATTAAAGTAATTTTGTTTACTATCTATAAAACTGAACAATAAATAAATTTAGTCAAATACTGCTCTAAATTACACTAAATTTGCGGATAAATTACAGAATATTCGGGCAAAAATTTATTTTCCATATAAAATTTGAAAACCGATTAAAACCGGTTTTTTAGCAAAATTAAAATTCGAAAACCAGTTTTCTGAAATGTCGGTTTTTGTATAAACCCTAGATAGCACTTTCACTGTTAGTACTAAGAAAGAAGAATAATATAGTGTTGCCATTATAACACTATGTTATTATATGTATTATTATTTGCCTTATTATATGTATTATTATTTTTTTAGCATTATGAGAGAACGTCCACACGTAGTACTGCATATTTCTCATAGCGTTGTAAAAAGACTGACTCCATTCGTAAGACAGGTATGTTACTATGAGTTTTTAAAATAAATTTTGATAACGATCCATGAAGATTGAAGTTTATTCTTTTATAGGTTGATTTTGCACTTGACTGGCAATTTATCGAATCTGGAAGGGCTGTGTATAGACAAGGCGATGAAAGCGATTCTACTTATATTGTTCTTTCTGGTCGTGTTAGATCTGTTATCAAACATGCTAATGGTAAAAAGGAACTTGTTGGTGAATATGGTAAAGGAGATATGGTTGGAATTGTAAGTATAAGGGTTAAGGAATTGTTTTATGAAGTCAATCAGAATTCTTTATTATTGTAACTTTTGGAATGTCCATTGGAGAAACTTTCATTGATTATTTCAAGACTTTTTGTATATAAGGAAATATAATTATTTCATTCTTAAGAATTAATCATGATAAATTAAAACCATACCAATACCAACTTATGATATAAATCTTATCGGCATATGACATTTTTAGTTTAAACTAAGGTTTACCTTTTTTATTGATAATTCATTTTTTTATCGATGCTTTACTAATTTTATTATTATCTTTTCCAGGTTGAGATGGTCAGCGGTCAACCAAGAGGCACAACCGTAATGGCAATTCGAGATTCAGAATTGGCAAAACTTCCAGAAGGATTATTCAATGCTATCAAACTGAAATATCCAATTGTCGTATCAAGACTTATTAGTTTACTCGGACAGAAAATTATGGGTAAATAAATAAATCAAATTTCTAAATATTTGAACATTTTTTAGAATAGAAACTAGATGCAATATATAATTTTTTGTCGACGATTTCGGGAGCACGGATCAACCGATTTGAATGATTGAAAAAACATTTGAATTGTATTAATAGGGAAAAGTACTGATTAGTTTCTAAGAGAGGCAGGTTTAGCAATTGCAGAGATACAGAACAAAAAGAATTTCAACTACCAAAAAATAAAAAATGAAATTTTTTACATATCTTCACGTTTCAGAAGTTTCTGAACATTTAGGCAAACTTCAGAAAAAATTAATGTGTGTTTTTTTTGTAAAGCGAACAAAATACCTTTATGCATCCCAGACTAGGTCTTTTGTCTGGGTATGTCAGACACAATACCGCCTGGGTATAATACCGTTTAAAAACCGTTTAAAACCTCCGTCGTTAGGCAATACTTTGTGGGGGGAGGATCTAGAATGTTATCGTTTTTTGCACTGATTTTATACTTATCTTTTAAATGTATGGGTATGTGTGGAGACAATTTTTCGTCGACGATTTCGGGCGCACGGATGAACCGATCTGAAAAATTCGAAAAGCAATCGATTCTTATTGATAGGGTGATGTGTTGATTATTTTTTAGGAAAGGCAGGTCCATCCGTTACGGAGATACGGAGCAAAGAGTGCAGAAAATAGAAATCGAGTTTTTGAGAGAACGGCGTATCCGATTTGAATAATTTAAAAAACATTCAGTTTCTTATGTTAGAAAGAAGTGATTAGTTTATGCCAAAGGCAGGTCCAACCGTTTCGGAGATACGGAGCCAAATGTGCTAAAATGGGAGTTTTTGAGAGAACTAACAATAAGCATCCGATTTGAATGATTCAAAAAAAAATCTGATTGTGTTGACAAACCGATTGCTTTTGGAGAAATAATTTTTTTTCTTTCAATTTTTTTTTTTATTTCCAATGATTTTTTTTTTGAGTATCGAAAATAATTCGGATTTTAATTTTAATTTTAACTAAATGCTTACTTATATACTACAAATAAATAATTTTAACTTTGCAATTCAGTTTATATAATTCTAATAAATATTGGACAATGTCCTTCATTTTAAATTCGATTAATACAGTTTTGTTTATTTACTTTTCATACAAACATATATAAATGTCATCGTTCAATTTACAAACTCTTATATTTTGTCTATAAAATACGAATATTGAACAAAGTTACAGTACTTATAACAATCTATCTGAATCTATTTGAAAACATTTAATATTTCTCGAACATTTCATTACGGTACGGAAAGTTCCACTAATTTGCCTCAAGGCACGATGCCATACACCACTAGTTATTATGTGTTTTTTTATTTATGATTTATTGGCTTTATAAACTAGTTACTATGTGTTATTATATAGATTTCAATTGTGTTTTCGTTTTTTTCTTAGGAACTTGGCAAAATCCACAAATCCATAGGCCTTTGACTACGGGAGGAGAACGCACATTGAGACAACAGAATTTTTCTACAGTAGCCTTAGTTCCAGTTTCCGATGATGTACCTCTGACTGCCTTTGCTTACGAGTTGTATCACTCGTTATGTGCAATTGGTAAGAAGAATTAATGCCCTTCTACCATCAAGTTTAATCTATATCTTGAGCATAAATGATATTTTGGATTCATGTCTGCCCGTTCTACGATAACAAATTTAATTTGTATTAAACGATATATAGCTGAGAATCTTGACACTAATGGACAAGTTAATGTTATTTACACTGATTTCAGTAAAGCTTTTGACAAAATTGATCATAACATTCTTCTTACTAAATTATCTAATCTTCTACTATCTTCACTTATTCACTTTTTTAAGAGTTATCTTCATAATCGTAAACAGTTTGTCTATCTTAATGGATTCTTGAGCAACATTGAAAATATTAGTTCAGGTGTTCCTCAGGGATCCATTCTTGGTCCACTACTATTTATTATTTTTATTAATGACATTTCTGATATTATTAGCTGTCCACATTTATTATTTGCAGATGATCTGAAACTATATCTCAAAATAAATTCTATTGATGACTGCTTATTATTACAGTCTCAACTTGACTTTTTCCAATCTTGGTGTATCTATTACAAATTACATCTAAATATATCAAAGTGCAAGATTCTTAGTTTTACACATAAGCGCGTTCCAATACTTTTTGATTATAAAATTTCTAACACCAGCATTGATAGATGTAATAAAATTTCAGATTTAGGAGTTCTATTTGATTCTGGTTTGTTTTTCACAGATCATGTAACTGATATTTGTAATAGAGCACATCAATCTTTAGGTTTGATACTGAGAAATTGTAAACAATTTAAGTCTATCAATGCACTTCTTTGCATGTACTATTCTATTGTACGTTCAAAATTAGAATACGGTTAGATTATTTGGCATCCTCATCATATCAACAACTCTGATGCGATAGAGAAGGTTCAGCGAAAATTTCTGAAATACCTTTATTATAAAACATATAAAATTTACCCTGAACACAACACTTTACTAAAAGAATTTGGTATTCCTTCCCTTGCCTTATGTCGATTTATCTGTACAATTATGTTCTTATTTAAGCTTTGCAATAATTCTATAGACTGTCCTCTTATTCTCAATCAACTATCCTTTAATGTTCCAGGGCTATCTTCGCGTTCACAATTATTTTTCAATTATCCTACTTCTAAATCTAATTTTCTCTTAAATTCGCCAATTTTACTTATGTACTCTAACTTTAACTTAATTAATAATGAAATAGATATTCACAACATTTCACCTAATCAAATAATCTTCATCTGTGCAAGTTAACCGTTTTATTTTCTTTTATAATATCTTATTATTTTATCGTATTCTGTTTATAAATAATATTGTTATATTCTGCATTATATGTAATTTTATGTAAAGCATTTTATGTTAATAACTATATATTGTAATTTTGTATATATTTTAATTGTTATTCATTATGTAAAATAATTGTATTTTTGAGTCCTCTTGGAGAAATCTGTGGGCTATATATTCAAATAAATAAATAAATAAATATTTATATTTTCCCCTTCTAGGACCAACCCTAAGACTGACCTCAGAAGTAATGCGCAAGACTCTAGGAGCAGGCATAATGGATGCCAATAGTGAATATCGCCTGTCAGGCTGGTTAGCGCAGCAGGAAGACCAACACAGAATGTCTCTGTATCAATGTGATAATGGACTCACACCCTGGACACAAAGATGTGTCCGACAGGCTGATATCGTGCTGATTATTGGTTTAGGCGAAAGAGCTCCAAGTGTTGGAAAGGTAATAGATTTTTATTTTTCATTAATACCGATACCTACCACTGTTATTTATTTAATTGTATTTTCAGATTGAGAAAGAGATTGAACGTTTGGCAATGAGAACACAAAAGGAACTGGTGTTGCTCCATCGGGAAGTCTTAGGTGCACCTTGCAGACCCCAGAACACAGTTGCGTGGTTGAATATGAGAAACTGGGTTTCTTCACATCATCACATACAATGTCCAAAGAGGATGTTTACTAGGAAAAGCCAATATAGAATAGTAAGTATAAATGATACGTTCAAATATAGAATTCGCTTTACTAATTTTTTGTTTACTTTAGAATGAGTTGTACTCGAAAGTTTTGATGTCAGAACCAAATCTCCATTCTGATTTCTCAAGATTAGCACGTTGGCTCACCGGAACTTCAGTTGGTCTGGTTCTCGGTGGAGGTGGAGCCAGAGGTGCTGCTCATGTTGGAATGGTCAGAGCTATACAGGTAAAAAAAAAAAAAAAAATTCCTTAGCATCATTTGCTTGTCCTCTGAAAATAAATGTAATTATCTAGTTACAATAAATGTAATTATCTAGTTACAAAGTGTGTTAATTTTAACAAATTGTATGTAAGGTTAATAATATATTAACTGTTTTTTACATTTTTCAGGAGGCTGGTATACCAATTGATATGGTAGGAGGAGTAAGCATAGGATCTTTCATCGGAGCACTGTGGTGCTCTGAGAAAAATATTACGACTGTGACCCAAAAAGCTAGAGAATGGGCTAGGGTGAGCTCTAATTTTGCTCGATTGATTTAAATAAATATTTTACCTTACAAAACTTTAACCTATTTAATTATTTTTTACCAGAAAACTAACCAATGGTGGAGAACCTTACTAGATCTCACGTACCCCATAACATCAATGTTTTCCGGAAGGGATTTCAATCAGACAATTCGAGGTACATTTGGGGATACTCATATCGAAGACTTGTGGTTACCATTCTTCACACTGACCACGGATTTAACAGACAGTTGTATGAGGGTGCATAGACACGGTAAGTCATTTATTTCGATTTAAACTTGATTTTGTTTGCTTGGGAGAAATAGTTTATTAAGAGATGTATTGGGAATAAATAGTACTAGTCAACAAAAAATATAATTGACAAAGATTTTGCATTATGATTAAAAATTTTGTCATCCACTTTGATTGGTGGTTCTGTTCCACAAAAAAGGACGCAAACTGAAATAAGATTTTTTTTACCAAAACATTTAAAGATTGGTGTAGATTCTTGGATTGTGTTAATACTACATGTTGACGAGAAAATTGGACAAAGTAAACAAATAAAAGTACAAAGTAAAGCAAATTTGATATAAAAAAATTTCACATACATATAAAAAGTGTTTTTCTGGACGTTTTATCAGTTCTTCAGTAATTTATCTTTCGGTTTCAAGTAATTATTTTTATAACATATTCAGGACACTTTAGGACAAAAAAATCAATAATGAAATTTTTGCATATTTTCACATTCCGTATATTTTGGAATACCTTAGAGAAAAATAAAAGTTTGTATGTTTGTACTAGGTCTTTTGTTTGAGTATAATGCTGACTGAAACCGTCGCTTATCTTTTGCTTCTCATTTCTAAGGAAACCGCCGTTAGACATTACTTCATGGGGGGAGGATCTAAAATGCTATGATTCTCTCTCTTAAATATACTTTCTTCCTTGTTAGTGCCATTTCTATAACAAATTTTATGTTTTCAACTTCAGGGCAAAAAAATCAATAATGGAAATTCTGGCATATTTTCTCTTTTCAAGTCTTCGAAATATTTTAAAATATCTTAGAGAAAAATGAAAGTTAAAGCGAAGGAAATCAGTTCTTTTGTTTGGGTATGTCGGGCTCAATACCGCCTCGGTTTAATGCGTACTAAAACTTTTGCTTATTTTTTGCCTTTTATACCCAAAAAATCTGCCGTTAGGCAACACTCTGTGGGGGGAGGATCTAGAATGCTATGATTCTCTCTCTTAATCACACTTTCATCCTAATTAGTTCATTTGTATGCATGTGTATTAGTATGTATATGCGGATACAATCTTACATCGACGATTTCAAGAGCACGGATCAACTGATTTGAATTATTAAAAAAAACATTCGATTTCTATTGATACGGAGACGTGCTGATTAGTTTTTGGGAGAGATTTTCTATAACAAATTTTATGTTTTCAACTTCAGGGCAAAAAAATAAATAATGGAAATTTTCGCATATTTTCTCTTTTCAAGTCTTCTAAATATTTTAAAATATCTTAGAGAATAATGAAAGACAAAGCAAAGGAAATGCCTTAACGAATATCAGACTAGGTCTTTTGTCTGAGTATGTCGTGCTCAAGATCGCCTGTGTATAATACGTATTAAAAACCTTCGCTTATTTTCTGCCTTTTATACCCAAGGAAACCGCCGTTAAACATTACTTCGTGGGGGGAGGATCTAGAATACTATGATTCTCTGTCTTAATTATAGTTTTTTTCTAATTAGTGTCATTTGGATGGGTGTGTATATGTACGTATATGCGGATACGATTTTACATCAATGATTTCAAGAGCACGGATCAACCGATTTGATTGATTAAATAAACGTTCGATTCATGATGATAAGAAAGCGTGCTTTGATTAGTTTTTGGTAAAGGCAGGTCTCGCCGTTTTGGATAGAATTTCTATAACAAATTTTATGTTTTTCACTTTAGGGCAAAAATATCAATATGAAATTTTTTGCATATTTTTTTAGAATTTTTAAGAATACCTTAACAGAAAAATGAAAATTTGTAAATATTTTTTTGTATAGCGAAGGCAATGCCTTTACGAATACCAGACTAGGTCTTTTGTCTGGGTATGTCGGGTTTAATACAGCCTGGGTTTAACACCGACTAAATACTTTATGAGGAGAGGATCTAGAATGCTATGCTCTTGATTATACTTTCCTCCTAGTAAGTACACATTTTTATGTGTATGTATGTGTGGATACATTCTTATATCGACGATTTCAAGGGCACGGATCAACCGATTTGAATGATTCAAAAAACTTTCAATTCGTATTGAAAGGAGTCGTCATTTTACTTGTCTTAAGGCAAAATGCCACTCACACCTAGTTACAATTATAATTGTTGACAAGTGCTATTTATTTAATATTTCAACTAGAGTTTATTTATATCCGGGCTAGAATTAGGGGCATCTTGTAATAGAATGAATTTTACACGTTATACAGTGGAACCCCGTTATTTTTGGATGTGGATTTTGCCTCGCATTATTTTCCGCATAATACGCCACCAGAAAAACGTCTTAACGGGGTTTCACTGTGTATAATAAATTCTTCACATGACAAATTTAATATATAGAATGTAGATTTTTCTTCGAATTAGTAAACAAAATTGTTTGTTGACAGTTTGGTACAATTTGATTTTCATGTATTAGTGTAGATTAGTTTTATATATTTTTATATATATACTTGGTGTTAACTAATGAGTTAATGAAGCCAGAATTAATATAATTAAATTTTTGTTTTTCAAAATTTATCTTAAATCATATTTAAGTATAGTTTGTTCGGCTTTGTAGATATTTTTATATTTTTTAGTTGTGTTTGTACATCACTCATTATGTTTTGTAGCTAAACATTTATTCATCAACTTATTATAGGATCATAAATATATATATATATATATATATATATATATTCATACATATACAAATGTATATGGCTTTTATGTATATTTATTTCAATATTCGAGGAAGCAATTATTTTCCTTGTCGCTGAGCTTGACCAATGGGTTTCCGTACCAAAAAAATACTACTGCATTTTTTTTTATGTTTATGTTGTGTTTTGTGATTTTGTTTTGAGTTTTCTCTACTTTCTATCTTCAATTTTTTTTCTGTTTGAATAGCTTACGATTAGATTTCTTTCTTCGATGCAAAAAATACTCACAGCCTCGAGTGACAAATGTAATATAATTATAACACTACTATTGTACTGCTGGTTTTAATTAACATTTATAATTTGTTAAAAATATTCTGAATGTTATCGATTAAAAAATTGTGTCATTATACAATTTGTCACTCGTGGTGAAACATTTGCATAATTTTTTTACCTCGCAACTCATTTTTCTCAATTCTTTATAAAATCTTATTTTAGCTTTTTTCAGGATGACTTTTCTCCTCTACTTTTTAAAGTGCAGATTTTGACAACGTTCATAAAATTCACAAAAAATTCTTCAAACGCCCAACCATACGTTTTATGTTATTTTATTTATTTTTTTTATAAATTTTGGATGGTAATTTTTCAATATCGCGTATAAAATTGTCTAGTAAATTTTGTATAACATTTTCGAAATGAATTTTATTTCTGGCTTCTTTTAATATTACATTTTAATGTTGTAAGTAAAATGTTTTACAGGTGCGCATTAATCATATATAAATGTTTTCATATTAATATATATATATATATATATATATATATATATATATCAAAAATATATAACTATATAAGCATGTATCATATGTATGTAATTAATATGACTTATATATTTATAATTAACATAAATAACGAGGGCTGCATTAAAATTTTTATAAAATATCTTATAAATTATTAATATTTAAAAAAATATTATATTATATTTAGAAAAATGATTTCAAATGCTTACATGCTTGCTATCATAAAATATTACACAAAAATACACAAATTATATGTGCTTTTTCTCATAACGGCATGAAAGACAAAAATAATCATTGTAATTATAAGTATTTACTGAATGCTTATTAAAATTATATATACATATATTGTTATTAACATCTAATTATATGTACGGAATTATATTTACTTAAAACATCAAATTTGAACTCAAATTTGAGGGTTTAGTTACAAGAGACCCTGGTTCAAATGTATTTGAAGGACTTCTGTTGAAAACCAAATTTAATTTTATTATTTACCAAAAGCTTGTATGTATGATTATTTTTTTTTATCAAAATCAAATTAAAATTGTGGTAGATTTATTTTATTAAATATTTACTTTACATCAACTGTCATACACTAATTTGAAGAAAAGTCGATACAACATTTTGTACAAAATTTTGTAATCATTTTTTACAATTTGTTATGTGAGTTAAATTTTATATTTAGCCTTTGCTTCAATATAAATTACTATATTTAAATTTATATTCATATTAAGAGTTTAATAATCGGTCATAACATTAAAGTCATGAATTTTATTAAAAATTAATTCTAAATTTTCTAAATTTAGGATAAAGTACTAGTCTTCATTCAGTGGCACTAAAATTAAATTTAGAAACTAAAATTGGTAAAAATAGAATTTGAAATATTGCAAAGGAAAAAGTTATAATTTGTTTATCCTCAAAACAGAAAAATACAATAATATATGGTATGCAAAATCTGTGGTATGTAAAACTTTTGTATTTTTAATAATTTTTCAAAATTTTACTAAAATAAACTTTTTTACAAAAGGCACTTCGGGGTGTCCAATCACGTGATCATTTTTTCAAGGATTTTTGGATCTCTTCCTCCTTTCGGTGATTTGTGGTGATATTCAAAACCACCCCTCCCTCCCCAACAAATTTTTTTTATTTTTTTTTAAATGTTTAAATTTAAATAAAAATCAGATGAAAAATAAATACACATGATACCATACTATACACCTCTCCCAAACGTGATATTTCGTGATTTTTGTCAAACAAAATTCAATCCATCGGGAGAGTCCGCGATTGTCGTCGGCAATGTTCGCTCTGTGACGTCAGAGTTTCTTCTATGTTTGAGCACTTATTTTGCGCTCGACTAGCAGTCCATGTAATATAATGCCTAGATCTGCAGATAATACATATTGCACATTTACTTTTTTGTAAAAATTGTTATAAATGCAACAGTTTTAATATTTACATTACAATGCAGTGCATTAGGGCATGTCCATTAATCACGTGACGTTTTTAGGAGGAGGGTGTGTTTGACAAAAAATCACAAATTGTCACATGGGGAAAGTAGGGGTATAATAAGATATTATGTGTATTTACTTTTACCTGATTTAAAAAAAAAAATCCAAACATTTTCAAATAAAATCAATAATTTCATACATTTTTCTCGTAACTAAAATTACACGTAATGTTTGGCGGGGGAGGGAGGGTAATTTTGAATATCACCATGTGTCATCAAGGGGGAGGTAGGGGTTCAAAAATCCTTAAAAATGTGATCACGTGATTAATGAACGCCCTCTTACCTTACCATGGATTATTATTTCTTCTGCTTTTTGATATTAGGATAAGCAAACTATGAGTGCCTTTTAATTTGCCACATGTAGTTTTTCAAACTCTTCAAATTGTTACATATGTTAGTTTTTAAATTCAGTTTTACTACGACTACAGCCGAAACGTATGGATCTTAGAATGAACTTTTAAAGAAGCTCGTATTTTTTATTGATATTATGCCTGGTTATTAGACTCAAATATTTATATCAACGTCCAATTTGAAATTATACATTATAATTCACAACTATAATTTCAAACCATTTACTGCATTAATGGGGCAATTCTGCCGTAACAGAGCTCATAAAATAGCGTTGTCGTGGCTTGTTGCTTGTTTATTTAATGCTTGTTTATTAATAATGGAAATTGTATTGATGTCTATTTGCCCTGCGAGCAGACGTATTTTATATATAAACAAGCAAGGAAGAATCTTACGATAACAGAATCTGCGATGATGCATTTATCGTAAGATTCTTCTTTGCTTGTTTGTATGTGAAATGCACCTGATCGTACAGAAACTTGATAGACATTTTCATAATTTTCACTACCATGAACAAGCATAAGAGAGCGTTGCCATGACAACGCTATGTTATGAGCTCCGTTACGGCAGAATTGTCCCATAAGTATTCAAGTCGAGAGTATCGTGGAACTACATTACATTTGAATCTTGTATTCTTTCTGTATTTTTAAAATTTAACTCACATACCTACGAATTGTACAAATGACTTTCGTCCCAAAACACACTACTTCTTGTTACCGAATTAATATGAATCGAGTGTTGCGTCTTTTACCGTTACGTTACCGTTACGTTATTGTTACGTTGTCGTGATCGTGTTTGCATCCAGGTTCGCTGTGGCGCTACGTCCGCGCATCGATGAGCCTGAGCGGCTACATGCCGCCCCTTTGCGATCCCGCCGACGGACATCTGCTCATGGACGGAGGATACGTCAACAATTTACCAGGTATACGAGGATAGACGGAAAAGATCATAACAGACAAATGTTGTGGCAAGGCCATGTTACGCCCCGACTTGCATACATTAGGCTACTGCATCACACAGAATACTGTCAAAATGTCCATGTGTTAGCTGTGCATTCAGGCGTTTTACACATAAACTGCAACGTCACTCGTATGTTATGAAGCTAGGTCATAAAAACCCTGTTATCTAACATAGTTTTTTTTGATATTTGTGCGGTTTCTGGGTTAGGTTTTCTACCTGACAAACTGAAAAACACGCCTGACTGCACAGCGACCACATGGGTTTTGTCAACATTTAGTATGGAAAGTTCTTCATAACATAGCCTTGCCATAACATTGGTCTGTTGTGCGGCAGAATCGGTCCCTGAGAGATCAATTTTGCCTGAAAATTGGCAGTCCTTTTGGAATTACATTAAGCACGAAAGGAGGAAATGAGATTTTTCGTGTGGACATTATTATAAGTGTAATATCTCGGTTTCATGCTTTAACTTATATGGCGAACTAAGGAGACAACATTAAACTGTTCAAAATAATTGGTATTGAAGCGTTACACTTATAAATAAAATATGCGTGAAGTCTAACTAATGGTATTTTAACATTTGTACTATTTGGAGGTTAGTTATCAGCAGTTGACAGTATCAAAAATTTAAATAAACGCCATAAGTTCTACTTGCAGACAGTTTCCTGACTACAAACACTTTTCAACTTTACAGATTTTTCTTGCTAAATTTTGTTTAAAACGTTAATTAACGTTATATACAGAGTTGTAGATAATTTTATCAGCTTTCTAACGATATATAATACTATTGGAATATTTAAAATATTTAAAACATGAGACCAGAACATCATCAAGAAAACATGAGTTATCGTTACGTTATCGTGAGACATTGCTATATTATTCGAGTTTAAGAGGCCACTTTTCAACTTCACAGATTTTTCTTGCTAAATTTAAAAGGTATGTGTTTGCTTGCGCTCAGCCGTTTTACACATAAAAAATAACCTCCAAAACGTACTTTTATCACAATTTTATCACAAGTGCATAGTTCTGATAAAAACCTACGTGAAGTTAGGTTTTATACGTAGAATGCCTGATCGTACAGCAAATACATAGCTTATTGACAGTTTGTTACTATCAATTCATACGAAGATAGACCCGTAACATAGCGTTACCATAACATTTTATGAAAAAATTGGCACTTATGCCCATAAAATGATTACATTACGCTTTAATGTCAGAACAGTTTTTTTTTAAAAAAAAACGCGGGTTTTAGTGTATGTATGATTTTATAGTATTCTTGGTATACATATTTCATTTTGTTAAATCATGTTTTCTGGATGTTGTTCACTCAATGTGTCGGTAGTCAGAAAGCTGTGGTTATGTATATCTAAGGCGCTTATTAAAATTTTTGGTACTGTCAACTGCTGAATATTAACCTCCAAATAGCACAAATGTGAAAACAATTTTAAATCGACTTCACTCCTCAGTATCCATTATTTTGACCTGCTCAATGTTTACTCTTTAGTGTTGCCATATAACATAAAACATGTAACTGAGAATAGCTTTTGCGCTTATGGTAACATTTTCAACGAGATAAGTGTGAACTTGGCGTAATATGTGTATCCGAGATTCGGCCTTCGGCATGATATAATTCCAATCCCCATCCCGATTTTATCCCCAAACAATTTATTTCAGCATTCAGAGTTGTAAAGATGGTAAAACCAAGGTAAACTTATTTTAATGATTTCTATATTAATATTAATATTATTTTAATAAGTTAACGATTTTTTGCGAGCGCAACTCACTATTGACACACACACTCATTATTATATATGTATGTACTATCTAGAAGTTAGCCAGAAATAAATGTTCGTATTTATTTATTAATTTAAGATCAAATTTAATATTATTATTGTTATTAGCAGGTAAGTGTCTCTCATATTTATTATTCATTTTATTTCTATTTTGGTGCTGGTTTTTCTCTACACTTTGCAGTCGGTAAAAATTTCATGGACACATTTCTCTGGCGCACTGGATTTTCATAATTTTTTTCTTGTCCTGCATGTTTAGTACTAACTTTTTTTTAGTCGATTGTCGGATAATAAAATACGTGTCAGAATTTGTTTTACGGTTTTTAGTCCAGGTAAGGGAGAGTCTGTGACTATTAAGGGGGTATTCTAGTGTAGAAATTCAAAAAAGTCGATTTTTTTCTATTTCATATTTTCAAAGTTTAACTATCTAAGAATATGGGTACGAGAAGGTTTTTGAAAATTTGAAATATTTTCGGAGATATAGCCATTTTACTGACTCGGTCTCCATACTGGTTTGGCTTCACGCAAAACTTTAAATGCGTTTTTCTCAGAACAGACTTTTTCAGTACTGTTGACACGATTTCTCGAGTTTTAATCGACCGATTCACATGAAATGTTCAGAGAGTCTTGTTTATAGACCTATCTGTAGCCCGAACTAGCATCATCCCCAAATTCCAATTTTTACTATATTTAAAAAATTCGAGAAACTCAAAAAACAGTAAAAAAGACACTTTTTTTCAAACAGTCGCCAATTTGTAAAAAAAAAAAATTCTACTCATCGCGAGTTCGAGCGATTGCGACATCATTGTACATTAATAAACTTTTTATTTTTTGCTTTTCCGATGGCTAGGAGGGCTGAAATCATGCCAAGACTGAAACTAACCAATTTTTTCAGACCCCCCACTTCATCAGCTGCCAGTTTTTACAATTTTCACCTTTTTTATTTTTTAATTTTTGTATTGTATTTTAATAATATTAATAAACAAGTGGTAAAAAATGGATAGTAAAAACATCCAATGCTTTCTTTTACGACACTTTAAAAATGACCTAAAATTCATCGCTCTACACTAGAATACTCCCTTAAAAACGTTGATATTTCGTTGAACTGACGTTGCACGTGGCAGTTACGTAAAACTAACGTGATTTAGATTTTTTACACGAATAAGTAACATTTACGTTTTCGTGAGAAAATTGAGAAAATTGGATATGTTTTTGATATTACATCATAGTTGAATGAAATTTTGTGAAACTATTTTCGATAATAATGATATCAAGCGCATTTGAAATTTTAATAATTATTTTTATTTAAAATTTTCAAAATTTACGTAATAAAGGTGGACGATACAAAATTAAGATTCGAATTACAAATAGTTGAAATAAATTTAATATTTCGTCTTTAAAAATAACTGCTCGTGACTATTTTCTATCATCATTGATTATAGTAGGTTATATTTTCGGAGTTTGTCTTTATAAGGGGCACAACTAGTGTGAAATTTTCAAAAAATCGAATTTTCAATTTTTCCATATTTCGATAGGTTATACCTTTAAAAATAATATACCAAAATTTTAAATCGATATCTTAACTAGTTTTTGAGACACAGCCATTTAAAGAGTATATATATAGTATATAGTATGACGATCATTTTATTTTCAACCGCGTTTTTCTCGAAACAGCATTTTCCGAATTTGCTGCAGCGATTACTCAAAAACAAATGAACCGATCACTATGGAATTTTTTTACATGTTCTATATATAGTTCTCCGTAAAATGAACTATCGATTTTTTGATCGGATCAAAAATCGATTTTTGGCAGTCCAAAAACGACCAAAATTTTGGGTAAAATTCGAGTTTTTTTTAAAAAACGCCGTCATTTTGATTTTTTTTCTTTATCGTAGGTCATTTTACAGACAATATTATCTAGTTTAACGAGAATTTTTTTTAAATTTCATCCACGTAGAAGGCCGGAATCGCTGCAGCAGTGAAGGGCCTTTTTTTTGTCGCGCCGTTGGAGATCGATGATAACTTAAAAAATATTCAATTTTTTTCTTCAAAAATTTTACTATGTATTCTTAAAACATGTAATATATTCTAATAAACAAGAATATATTTATTCTTAAAATTTTGAAATGATAAAGTAGTTTTTTTTTTATATAAATCCCAAAAATCGCCTTTTTTTAGGCGGTTACACTAGTTGTGCCCCTTTATCTTGCACGTGTGTATTTTGCCACAGGGATAACTGACTTGAAATTTTGTTCTTAGCGAAGAAATATTAGAAGATCTTGATAAAGTTATATGAACACTCTTAACGATTTATATATCATTTTATTCGTAATTTTATTCTGCATCTTTCGTACAAACAAAGTTTTTTCGTATCTTTTACGGTTTAGATAGTATAGAAGTACTGCCTTTCTCAGGATAACAATTTTTGTTTCCCATAACTTGGGTAAATTATCGGTTTAATACATCAGACTCTCTCCTTCGCCCGTCGTTTAATAGATTTTTTTTGCGTTGGTTAAGCTCGGCAACAACTCAAAACTTCAATTTGCAATTTTTTTCGAAAAATTACTTTGTGTCCTGATAAATTTCTATCACTATTTCATTCCTGGTGCCATCAGGAATCGTTTGGCGTTACGTTCGCGCCAGTATGACAGTTGCGGGCGTCTTTCCGCCAATGTGCGACCCTCAGGATGGACATTTGTTGGTCGATGGGTGCTATGTGAACAATGTACCAGGTAACGAGAAATTATTAGAATTATCTACATATATATAAAAATAAGTTGGGTTTTCCTTCCTGACGATTTAAGTCCAGAACGCACAAACCGATTTCGACAATTTTGCATTCTTTGGAAAGGTCTCGGGCTCCGCAAGGTTTATGGCTAAGAATATTAGTGGTGCATCGTGCTTCAATGCAAATTGCTGGAACTTTACGCACCGTAATTAAAAATTCGAGTAATGACAATAGTGAGAATTATCAGAATTATGCTTGGTTAAGTCAACGAGCAATTCTTGCCGCAAAGAATAATGATGTACACGCACTGAATTTCACCATTCAATCAAAAATTGCTGGCGATTTGGTGACATACCAATGATTCCGACTTGTCTTCCGTTTGACTTCAAACGATTGTAATTTTCAGTTCGCCTTGCGTTCGCAATAACAAGTCGCAAGGCCAATCGCTTTGTGTTTGCGTGATAAATTTCAAATAGATTATTTAGAAAATCATTGTTTTTCACATGGCCGGTTATACGTTGCCTGTTCACGAGTTGGTAAACCATCCGCTTTGTTTGTGTTAACATCAGACCAAAAAACAAAAAATGTGGTTTACCAAAGAGCACTTCAATGAAACGGATAATTTGCGGATTCACTTTCATTTACTTAGAGAAATTCAACTGAAAAACACTTTATTTTTGTAATCGAAATAAATTCACTACTGTTGTGTAATAAAATCAAATTTTTCCTTTTCAAATATAAAACAAACAAAAAATTTCTTCATCTTTCTCACGAAACCATCTGGTGGCAAAACGGAGTTCGTCGGGTAAACGAGGTAATAACAGAGTTGAAAGGGTTATAATAAAACACCAGCCAGCAATTCGCAGGGTTACACCTCAGCCGTGGGGCTGTTAAAATTAAAAGGGCTGCCAGTATATATACAGGGTATCCCAGAATTTCTTATGGGGTGATATGAATGTTGTTTACGTTTACAATTCCAAAGTTTAAATGAACACAAATGATACAAATTGACCATAATAAGTGAAAAATGATCACATTTTGACCAAAGCCTTATATTGTACTTAAAAGCTTTTAACTTCCATGGGATAAATTATTTTTAACTTCCCGTAGGGTAGTTATAGTATTGGGCCGAAAATCGAAAATGAAAATTTTTGCATTCTCGACGTTTTGAAGGTTTCTGAACATTTTGGCATAACTCAGAAAAAATAGATGTGTGTGTGTGTGTGTGTATGTGTGTGTATATATGTATGGAGACAATTTTTTGGGCACACGGATCAACCGATTTGAATGGTTCAAAAAACATTCGATCCCTATTGATAGGGAGATGTGCTGATTAGTTTTTGGCAAAGGCAGGTCCAGCCGTTACGAAGATACGGAGCAAAAAGTACAGAAAATACAAATCGAGTTTTTGAGAGAACGGAGTATCGGATTTGAATGATCTGAAAAACATTCATTCAGTAACGATTGGGAGAAGAGGTGATTAGTTTTTGGCAAAGGCAGGTCCCGCCATTTCGAAGATACAGAGCTAAATGTGCAAAAAATTGCAGTTTTTTGAGTGAACTAAGCGTCCGAATTAAATTATTCAAAGAACTTTTTGCTTGTATTGACAAAACAATTGCATTTGCCTTTGCCACTAGTTTACGATCACGGCTTCAAAGTTTAAATGAACGAAAGTAATAAAAATTGATCATAATAACTGAAATATTGTCACAGTTTGACCAAAGTGCATGGATTATTTTTTTTCCAATTTTTGACATCTTTGTTTCGGCTTGACGTTGAGTTCTGGGACATCCTGTATATATAATTGGACCTTAATAGACTCAAACATCGCTTTAGTATTATCAGCTCACAGTGATCATCATAATCGAGTACAAAATATGATAGTTGTTTAATTTTGAAATTTCTGTACACACAAACTTTTTATTACTCAAGGGAGAGCAACTTTTTCTGCCGAAATATTTTTAAATCAGGTACTTTTGGACACTTTAATTAGTAAGACCAGGAAGTTCAGAACAGATTAAGCCACTGACGAACTTAAAACATTTTTTTAAATCAAACATGGTAACTTTGGTCTTTCTAGTTGACCAGGCAGTCCTTAACCGATTAGGGCAGTGACGTACTAAAATCATTATACTTTCCAAGTTTAAATCTGGTAACTTTGGTCCTTCCAGTTAACCAGGAAGCCAAAAAAATTATACGTACCATGTTCAAATATGAAACTTTGGTCTCTGCAATTAACCAAGAATTCTTCAACCGATTAAGGCAGTGATGTACTCAAAATATTATATTTTTCATGTATGAATCAGATGACTTTGGCCTTTCCAATTGACCAGGACGTCCTTAACCAATTGAGGCATTGATCACCAGAAATATTATATTTTCTATGACTATATCAGATGATTTTGATCTCTCAATTCAACGTGACCAGAAAGACTCTTGCCAAAATAAATTATGGCAGAGGCAGGACTATTATTTGTTCCATACACAAATCTGGTTAATTTTGGTCTTTCCAACTAATATGACCGAGGAATCCAAAACCAATTAAGACAACGGAAGACATTTTAAAAAAATAAGTGGAGCGAGAATTTTTGCGTTCAAAAATAAATTGCAGTACTGAAGAACGTTGCCTGTTCACAGGTTTATTCTGTATTTTAATTTTAATACCTTGGTCAGTTTTATAAGTAACTTTCTGGTAGATTTTTACCTTGCTCGTCATTGCAGTCCCTTTTTTTGGTTTTCTAATTGATTTTTAAATTTGCTCGTCAATGGAGTCCTTTTATATATTCCATTTCGATATTTACTTTGCTCGTCAGTAGAGTCCCTTTTTGTTTTTCTAAATTCATATTCAGCTTGCTCGTCAGTGCATTCGTTTATTTGTACTTTAGTCTAAATTTAGTTTGCTCATCAGTTCTTTTTTTATTTAAATTTTTCAAGCCCAGATTTCACTTTGCTCGTTAGTATTTTCTTTTTTGGAAGGCAAATAAGTGGAACAAGTATTTTTGGATACAGAAATAAATTACAGTGATAAAGGAATGCAGGTTTTTTTCTTCACTATAAACTTAACGATCTATTATTTTTCCAGAACATTTGCTTAGAAAAATAAGAGTTGGACAAAAAATTTGGGCCCACGAATCATTTTGGGAAACTAACAATATCAACCCTAAGCCATATAGCAATCCATAAAATTTCCGAAAATTGGGATTTAATTTTGAATATTGGCAGCTTTTGGTAACTGCAATATTGATATGGTATGGTATGGTATGACTTAACGAAGATGTTGATTTGTTTTTTTCAACCAATATTCAGAAAAAAAGAATTTCTTATGGATCCAAAGGTAAAAGTGCTCGAAAACGTTGTTCGCAAAAATTATGCAAAAGATGCAATAGAAATATTTAATTCTGGAGAAAAGGTAAAGGTACTAACGAAGAAATACCTGCAAATAAAATATTAGACACAACTAAAAAAAAACACACTAACAAATTTTGCACTACTCTACACACTATTGGGATATACTATTGAAGATTGGCAGATTTTGGTGACTGTAGTATTGACAAGAAATTATAATTGGGAGTTTTGATGAAGCTTGCCAATGAATTTCCTTTCACCAATCTTCAAAAAAAAAAAGATCCAAATTTTAAGGATCCAAAGGTAAAAAAGTTTCAAAACGTTATTTGCAGGAAATAAAGTTAATAGATGAAATGGAAAGATTTAAAATGTGATTCTGGAGAAAAGGTGAAGTTACCAAGGAAAAAGTATAATCAAATAAATTATTAGACTACCTTGAGTTACCTAGAATGTCATCAATACTAAATTTGAAGGATAGACCTAAATAAAACAGCTAGAATCATCTATCCAACCATATAACAACTCAGTTCCATTAATCACTTTCTAGGGATTTTGGATTGATCTGCATCAAAGCGCTAATAACTTCCAATATTGGTTGCGGCATATTGCAACCAGCTTTAACTGTCTTTTTAGGAAGTAGTACAACTTGGAAATCGAAATGTAAACCAGTTTTGAAATTGGTCACCTGCGAAAAACACTTTTGGGGTAACCTGATATCCTTGGCAACATTGCAAGGCATTAGGGAATAATTTAAATAAAAATCTGTTGGTTTGTGATCAGTTCACAGATTTGTGTTTAGGTTCAAAAAATTACAATCAGTTATATAATATAGTACATACATACACACAATTCCCAAAATAGTGATTGCGCTCCTAAAAGTCTTAACTTATGCATTTAATTATTTATTAACTTATTTATTATTTTTATTTACAACAATCTTTTACCCTTTAGCTGATGTGATGAGAGCTCAAGGAGCTCACAGCATTTTAGCCATCGATGTCGGTTCTCAAGACGACACCGACTTGACCGATTATGGTGACAACTTATCAGGCTGGTGGCTTTTGTGGAAACGATGGAACCCCTTCACGGAACCCGTTAAGGTTCCCAATCTTCCCGACATACAGTCCAGATTGGCTTACGTTTCGTGCGTGCGCCAATTAGAGGTAATAGAGGAAAAGACACATGAAAATGTACAGATATAAATTTTGTCTTATTTTTTCCTTTAGGAGGTGAAAGCTAGTGACTACTGTGAATACCTAAGGCCTCCGATAGATCGTTACAAGACTTTACAATTTGGATCATTCGATGAAATCAAGGATGTCGGATACAGGTATGGAAAGGCTTATTTTGAAGATCAACGCAAAAGTGGAGCCTTGCCGAAATTTAGGAGTGGAGCTGCTAGTAATAATAGGACTGCTGAACCAACGCAACCCGAGTAAGTAGAAATAAACTAGTCGTGTATGGCATCTTGCCTTAAGGCAAATTGCTGGAACTTCCCGTACCGTAATGAAATATTCAAGAAATTTTCAAAGTTTTTAAATATATTATTACAAATACTGTAACTTTCATTATATTTGCTATCTTATTGTAATATCTGAGTAATCAAATGTAAAACATAAATCAATTTATATCCAGAACATTAACAATCGTCATTTTATTTCGAATTCAATTTCAAAAAAATAGTTGTCTAATTTACACAAAATTGAAAAAGTGCGTATAGTCACAGTCTAAACGCACTTGCAAATAATTCTGTGCGACGTTTTCACTTATACGCGCTTCGATAGTACGGAACCCATAGGAATGTAAACAAAATTTATTTATTATTAACTTATTGTTAAAATCTCTATAAAATATCTGATAATTTGATGCGCATATGTCTAATGATTATTTTTGACCACCAGATGGCATTTTTTTCTCCTTATCAATACGAATCGAATGTTTTTTGAATTATTCAAATCGCTTCCTCTGTGTTCTCGAAATCGTCAACGAGTATACACACACGCATACACACATTCAAACACACACACACATACATCCATTTTTTCTAAGTTATGCCAAAATATTCAGAAACCTTTGAAACGTGAAGACATATAAAAATTTTCATTTTCGTTTTTTGCGATTACTATAACTTACCCTACGGAAAGTTAAAAATTCATCAAAGTTCAGATTTTTCTAAGTTAGAACATTTTAAAATAGCATAAAAAATTTAATATTAATAAAACTCAATAGTACGTATTTTCGGGAAGTTAAAAATAAGTACGTATTTACGGGAAGTTAAAAATATTTTATGGAAAATAAAAAAAAGATGTAATAATTTTTTATCCTCAAAAGCAATTGTTTTGTCAATACAAGCAGAAAGTTCTCAAAAACTGCCATTTTTTGCTCATTTAGCTCTATATCTTCGAAATGGCGGGACCAGTCTTTGCCAAAAACTAATCACCTCTTCTTCCAATCATTACAAATCGAATGTTTTTTGGATCATTCAAATTCGACACTCCGTTCTCTCAAAAACTGGATTTGTATTTTCTGCACTCTTTGCTCCGTATCTCCGAAACGGCTGGACCTGCTTTTGCCAAAAACTAATCAGCACATCTCCCTATCAATAGAAATCGAATATTTTTTAAACCATCCAAATCGGTTGATCCATGCGCCCGAAAACGTGGACGAAAAAATGCGGACATACAAAACACACACACACATATATATACAGACACACTCATCCATTTTTTCTGAGGTATGCCAGTAAAATGTTCAGTAACCTTCAAAACGTCGAGAAATGCAAAAAATTTCATTTTCAATTATCAGTTTTATGTGTAAAATGCGCCTGATCGCACAGCAGTTATACATTTTCAGAGTTTTTCCTACCAAGAGGACAAGCATAAGATAGAGTTGCCATAACAACGCTATCTTATCGTCTATGTTCCGGCAGAATTGACCCATTAATCACCTGTCACTTTATTGAAATTTCTCTCTATTATTATCTTTTATATATTAGGTTTACATTTACCGATTTGGCTCAAATGATGTGTCAAGTACCGAGATCTTTAGACACCTATTCAGATTCATCGAGTTCTGATGATGAGTACGAAGAAGAAGGCACCGGATACAGATCAGAACCATCAGGAAGGAGCTATCATGTAAGTTTTGAAAAAATAATTAATTTTGCTAAGATACGCCAGCTCTTTGCAAAAAGCCTTTTAAAAATGCAATGGTAAAAAATACCAAAACGACACTTAGTTCATGTTGTCTCATCCTCTTAATAAACCTTTTAAATTAATATTTATTATAATATATATGTTCATTGAATCTTAAAAATTTTCTTTGACAAACTCTAAAAAGATTTATTAAAATCCGAATAACCGTTTAGGAGAAGTATCAAATCATACACCCGTACAGAAGACTTATATATATATAATATAAATGTATATATATATATATATAATATATATATATAATATATATATATATATATATATATATCAATTATTATTTATATTTCGATTATTACAGAGTACATCGAGTACAAGAAGGGCTTTGTCTGAAAACGAATTAGAAGACTCTGAATCTGAATATGCTTAATAATTATAAATAATAATAATTATGATGAAACTTTTGGACGTATCCATATAGTATTCGTATTATATTTAATATAACCGATATAATAATAGTAATAATAATTAAATAATAGCTTTCGTAATTGAATAGAATATTTTTATATGTACCTATTTATATGCAAGTTTCAGAACACACTTTTCTAATGAAAATTGTTATCGTTTTTAATGTAAGATGATTGTATATATATTAATTAATTAATTATTGTGTAAAATTGTATAATTGGTTAATTCAAATATTGAATGACATTAGTATAAATTTTCCGGAAGGATATTAGTTTAGTTTTTAGGTAGGATTTTTAGTACAAATGATTTTATTATTTGTGGCAGTATTGATGTTCGTAAAAAAGACGTTGAATCGTTTTTTTCATATATATATATATATATATATATATATATATATATTTATATATATATATATATATATATATATATATATATATTTTGTAGAGTTTCGAACAAGAATCCAAAAATAATACAAAATAAAAAAACAAGAAAAGTTTTTAATAAACAATTTCTTTATTTAATTATTTGTTTACTGTCAACGTTTCGGAACTAGGTACGTTCCATCTTCAGGACATCTGTCAAGAAACATGATCTTGATAAGATTTAAGCAAACAAAATGTTTAAGAATAGAAAATAGATTTTTCTTAAATAATAAATTAATTGTAACAAATAATAATGTACAGAAATATGATAATATGATCAAAATGAAAATGATAAAAATAAATGAGTGGATTATCAGAACCGGATATTAAAAATGATAGAAATTTTTTGAAAGTTATGGAAAAATTTTTTAAGAAAGGATTAATGATAAAATTGAATTAAATTAATTAAATTGAATTAAATTGAATTGATTAAATTGAATTGAATTAAATTAATTCAATTTTATCATTAATCCTTTCTTAAAAATTTTTTCCATAACTTTCAAAAAATTTCTATCATTTTTAATATCCGGTTCTGATAATCCACTCATTTATTTTTATCATTTTCATTTTGATCATATTATCATATTCTGTACATTATTTGTTACAATTAATTTATTATTTAAGAAAAATCTATTTTCTATTCTTAAACATTTTGTTTGCTTAAATCTTATCAAGATCATGTTTCTTGACAGATGTCCTGAAGATGGAACGTACCTAGTTCCGAACGTTGACAGTAAACAAATAATTAAATAAAGAAATTGTTTATTAAAACTTTTCTTGTTTTTTTATTTTGTATTATTTTTGGATTCTTGTTCGAAACTCTACAAAATATACACAAATCCAAGACTCTACCATTCAATATATATATATATATATATATATATATATATATATATATATATATATATATATATATATATATATATATATATATATATTAGGGCGGTCTTTAATATGGACATTCTCGAATTTTTTGCTCCCAAGGGCTCAATTGCTTTGGAATTAATAAAAAAAAATCTCTATAAGTTTTAGCTCTTAATATTAACATTTAGGTAGTCCGCAATTCAATTAAAAGTTTCTTTATTGACATATGTCTCTAAGTAAATTCTTGCGCTATCTGTTTTATTTTAATACGTATTTTAATGATATATCCTAATACGTATAAAGTTCATCGAGACCTTTCATTTGACACATGCCTATATTTGAAGTAAAACTTCTTAGCTCACATTTGACACCGTGTTCGGCAACTCACTGGTTGTCTTTTTGTTATATATCTTGTAACTTTTGAACTATTTGTCGTAGAGAAGTGAAATATTCGACGAAATTGAACAAAATTAAATAATCTATGATAGTATCTAACAATTTAAGCTCTACGGCAACTCGGTTTGCAAGTCTAGATATAAAATACAGAACCTTATTGCAGTCACGTGAACATTACTATGATATTCGAATAGTGCACGTCAAGACCTTTCATTTGATACCCCACATGCCTATATTTGAAGTAAAACTTTTTAGACCACAATTGGCACCGTGTTCAGCAACTCACTGGTCGTCTTTTTGTTATATATCTTGTAACTTTTGAACTATTTGTCGTAGAGAAGTGAAATATTCGACGAATTTGAACAAAATTGAATAAATTATGATACTATCTAACAATCTAAGCTCTACGGCAACTCGGTTTGCAAGTCTAGATATCAAATACGGAACCTTATTGCTGTCACGTGACCATTACCATAATATTCAAATAATGCACGTCGAGACCTTTCATTTGATATCCCACATTCCTATATTTGAAGTAAAACTTCTTAGCTCACATTTAACCCCGTGTTCAGCAACTCACTGGTCGTCTTTTTATTATATCTCTTGTAACTTTTGAACTATTTGTCGTAGAGAAGTGAAATATTCGAAGAATTTGAACAAAATTAAATAATCTATGATACTATCTAACAATTCAAGCTCTATGGCAACTCGGTTTGCAAGTCTAGATATCAAATACAGAACCCCATTGCTGTCACGTGACCATTACCATGATATTCGAATAGTGCACGTCGAGACCTTTCATCTGATATCCCACATGCCTATATTTGAAGTAAAACTTCTTAGCTCACATTTGACATCGTGTTCAGCATCTCGGTGCCAAATGTGAGCTAAGAAGTTTTACTTCAAATATAGGCATGTGGGGTGTCAAATAAAAGATCTCGACTAACTTAATACGTATTAACATATATCATTGAAATACGTATTAAAATAAAATAGATGGCGCAAGAATTTACTTAGAGACTAAAGCTAAAACATTTAGAGATTTTTTTTAAATTAATTTGGAAGCATTTGAGTCCTTGGGACCAAAGAAATTCGTAAACGTCCATATTAAAGACCACCCTATAAATGAATAAATAATATAAATTTACAATTTAGTTCGCATAAAAACCAATGTATGGGTTATTCTCAACAATTCTTAGAAATATGAGATAAGGTCCACTCATAAATTAATATATGTATAATTAATTATTTATGCCTTATGTTTTAGCATCAATACTGCCAAAAAGGTATAAATGTCTGCGATTAAATTTATAATTGTACATTATATTTGCTTATTAGTATATTATTATTATTATTACGATAAATGGAGGAAAGATGAGAAATAAATAACAGTGCCTACATAGGAAGCTAAATAGGAATTCTAGGCACAACGATGGACCAATTTTCGAAGAACCAGTGAATTTAAGAAACTGAACCAGGACGATGACCCAGTGAGTTTTTAAAAATATATTTAGTTAATTATAATAATAATACAAGCCAGTTATTTCTTAAAATTTCGGCATAGACTATTTTATTTCATTTTACGATTAGTTTTTTTATCAACAATTTGAGCCAAAGAATGTAAATTATGTGTAAATGAGATAAAATAATTATAATAAGATATGATACTCTTGATTGATTTAGTTATGTGTAATGGAATTATAAACCAATGTCTTCAAATTGTGATTTATTATATAAGTTGTAGAAAAAGTCAAAAATATTATTATAATATACTTACAATTAGTAATAATTCACAATCGTTTTATTAATCGGTATTAATATCAATTGTTGTAAATATTTTCGAGTTATAAATGCTGTAAATTTTATCACTCGTATTTTACAGATGAGTTATGAGAATTTATAAATTAATGGGGCAATTCTTGGAATGGAATGAAAGATATATGATTTTAATTCTTTCGTAATATTTTTTATTTTTAGTTCTGATTTTGCCTAAGTCCAGGATTTTGATTTTGCGTTCCTGTTTTATCTACAAGGATTATTGGTCCAGGATTCACGTTTTTTTGTCAAGGATTTTTTAAAAGCAATTTCGTTTTGGTTTGTTTCAGTCTAACAAATAAACATTGGTACGGAACCCATAGAAAGGTGAACAAAATCTGTTATTATTATTAAAATATCTATAAAATATGTGCTAATTTGATGTGCATATGTCTAATGGTTATTTTGGACCGCAAAATGGCATTTTTTGGCCAAAAACTAATCTAATGTTTTTTGAATCATTCAAATCGGTTCCTAAAATACATCAACAATTCAAAAAAAAAAACTATCTGTAAGTGGAATTCTGTTTTAAGACAATTAGGGCATCTTGCCTTAAGGCAAATTGCTGGAACTTCCCGTACCAAAAATTATTATTTTTTTAAAAACGATTAACATTTTTGAAAAAAAATTACTTCGAAAAAATAATATTTTTGAGAAACTATAAATTTGACAAAAAAATACTTTTTTTTGAAAAAAAAAATTTTTTTGAGAAAAAATTTTTTTTTTGAAAACAAAAAAATTTTTTGAAAAAAAAATGTTTTCTTCATTTTGATATATTTTGAAAATTCTGAACTTTTTCAAAGCAATCGCACTGCTTGAACTGCATAGAGACGAAATGTCAAAGCTCGCAGGTGCCCTGCCGCCGTCTGCATGCATAAGCATTGGTACGGAACCCACAGAAATGTAAAAAAAAATTATACTTATTGTTAAAATCTCTATAAAATATCTGACAATTTGATGTGCATATGTCTAATGATCATTTTTAACCGCCGAATGGCATTTTTTTTTACTTTTTTCATTAGATCTCCGAAACCGCTAGACCTGCCTTCATGAAAATTTGATCAATTCTACATCTTGTCAATACAAGTAAAATGTTTTTTGAATTATTCAAATCGGACGCTCCGTTCTCTTCAAAACTGAGTTACCCTTTTTGGCACTTTTTGCCCCGTACCTTCGGAACGGCTGGACCTGCCTTCGCCAAAAACTAATCAGCACGTCTCCTTATCAATACGAATCGAATGTTTTTTGAATTATTCAAATCGGTTGATCCGTGTTCCCGAAATCGTCGACGAAAATTTGTATCCGCACATACATATACACACGTACATACATACATACATACACACACACACATACACACACACACACACATACATCCATTTTTTCTAAGGTATGCCAAAATGTTCAGAAACCTCTGAAACGTAAAGATATATAAAAATTTTCATTTTCGATTTTTTTGCGATTACTATAACTTGCCCTACGGGAAGTTAAAAATTAAAAACAAAAACAAGTAATTATAAAGTAATTATAAATTTTATTTCATGGTCTTCAGTAAATAAAAATATACCATTTATTAATACAGTTTTAGAATTCATAAACATATAATACAATTATTGTCAGTATACTAATATCGTACTACTTCAAAATTTTACTTTCAGAAGTACTTTCAACGCCCTTGCTATTACAAATATGTATTTCATATTTTTTAAAATAAAATTTAAACAGGGTACATATTTTATCCATTAAAAGCACATCATTTTCATCCTCGATAGAATCCATACCTATAAATCTAATATCCTTTTTTTCTCTCACAACTTTTTGCAAAGCTTTATAGAAATGGAAATATGAAAACGAGTCCTTTGGTTTCTGTTTAACGTACAACCCAACAATCCACTCATTTCTAACTTCAGTAAAGTAATAATCTCCTAAAGTGCGATTTTTTGCACGTTTAAAATCCATAATAAAAGGAAACTTTTTATCTAATTCTTCCATTTCAGGTGTTGTTTCGCCTTGGGTTGAGACTGTGAAGACAAGCAATGTTTCCGGTTCAATTTGGGATAGAGGAAACAAACGGTGTTTGATTACCGTGCGTATCTTTTGGTGGACTTGTAATATCATTTGGCTCGGTAGGCTCAGTTTGCTCCACAGAACACACTAGGATATCTAACGAATCGTTGTGAAATATCTTTCGTATCAATCTGGACACATCATGCCATTGCAGTCTGTCTAAGCCACAACCAATCTTTGGCATAGCTAATTTAGTCACATTGTTTTCCAACATGTGATCCCGCATTTGTGTCAATGATGATTCGAGATCCTCTATACGAGGTTTACCAGTACTTCTCTGTTTTGTTACTAAATAGTATATAAACCTATTTTTATCCTTAAGGTATGCAAAACCACCGGTTTTGGGTCTTTGTTGTAATAATTCTGCAACTTGTCCAAATTTATCACGAAACAGTACAGCAATACCTGCACCCATTGTAAAGTCTTCAGCAACGCAATGACATAGAGAGTAGTCTTCAGAAACTGTGAACAAGTCTTTAGATTCTTCAGAAAATTTTAATGTAGTATTCTCGTAATCGATATCAAGAGACCTGTTTGGGTTAGCCGTAAGCACAGTTCTGGTTTATTTTCCCAATCATCATTGTTAAATTTTGGTCTATCTTTAGACGATCTCCAATTTTCATATTGTGTGGCACCGCTTGATGATGGAGTCACCTCATATCTTCGTAATGGAGGCACTTCAGTAATATCATCCCAGGATTCAGCTACAGGCTCAATATTTTGTTCAACTTCTTGAGGTTCATTAGAAATTTGATCAGATTCCTGCACCACCTTTTTATCTTCATTTTGAGTATTATTACAGGTAACTTTTTCCGATACAGTGCTTTTTTTATCACCAGATTTATTGTTATCGGTTTTAATTTCAGTATCTTTTTTGAGGTTAGGATTTTGAATTTTTTGAGATACCTTTCCTTTCTTCTTACCCATGTTTATCCACTAATTTTTTCGTGAACTTAGAATGAAAATTAATTGATATGAATGTTTATTTATTTTTAGTTTACCAAACGTGCTTGTTTGTTAACTTTTTGAGACTGAGGGACACTTCAGCAGTGCAGATAAGAAACACTTAAGTAAATGGGGAATTCCCAGAAAATCTGTAACCCGAGCTTTCATCAGTAAAACAACATAACCAATTATTATTTATAAATATAATTATTAATAATTGCATGTTTTTATAAACAAGGGGTGAGTATTAATAGTTTATTCTGATAAATAAGATCTTGTAATATTTATTTCAAGATAAGGATGATAAGATAAAGTTTGACAGATAGATTGTAAGGCTACGAGCGCACTAGCATTTTTTATTTCCGACAAAGTCATGTATGTGCTTAAGAATTCTTCCTTATTTGTAAAATAAAGAACTAGTGATGTTTGGCATCGTGTTTTAAAGCAAATTGCTAGAACTTCCTTTACCGTAATAAAACATTCAAAGAATATCATCCAAGACTCCAAACTAATCCAGTCGTCAATGTGCTCTGACCCTTACCACGACTTTTGTACTTCAACCAACTTCACTCCACTCGTCTCCCACATCTTCTCTCAGTTGACAGTTTTCTTTGTTGTGCGCTAGACGAAAAATTGCAATTGCGCATTTGAATGTTTTTGCACAAATAATGGTTGATAGGGTTAAAAGGGTGATCGATCAGGAACTGTTAGCCGGCGTGAATATGAGCGATGCCACTAATTATAATGTCAGAGTCTCAAATGGCTCGACCCACGAGGGAAAGACTCCTTTTCTGATCGGGGTGGCCGGCGGCACGGCCAGCGGAAAGGTAAGAAAATAATTGCAATATGGAGAATAATGATAAAATTTATGTGATAAAATGTTATTTGCTGATGTAATTGGTGTTGAAAGTGGTATGTCAATATAGGAAATAAGTCTTGGCTGAACTAACCTCAATCTTGTAACATTTACAATGTTGACTATCAGCAAGAGGTGTATATGTCCTTTTGGTATTACTAAAGTTACTTTGGAAGGTCATGCAGTAGTGTTTCGATGTAAAATTTATAGTTATTTATTATACTAAATTATTGTACTTACCTCGTTAAGTTTATAATTGTTTTATATGTTTTTCAGTCGACTGTGTGTAAACGGATAATGGAACAGTTGGGACAAGCTGATATGGATCATACCAAACGACAGGTTTGTAATAAGCTCAATTTGTTACAATTCTTTAAAAAATTACTAATAATAGTAAACAATTTGAAATCATGAAAACAGAGCATATAAATCTTATATTTTGAAAATATTTTATTTAAAAGACTTTTGTTTATTTAAATGGGACGAATAAGCTGTTTTTTTGAATAACATTTCAAAGTTTATAATTAAAAAATAACAAAATTCCATTGATATATGTTTCTCTTGTAGATTTTTCTATTTTAGTTATGATTTTTCAGATAATTATATATTTTTTCCAGGTTGTTTGCATAAGCCAAGACTGTTTTTATCGAGAACTGACACCAGCTGAGAAAGTAAAGGCTGACAAAGGTCTCTTTAATTTTGACCATCCAACTGCATTTAACGAAGAACTGATGTTGAATACGCTGAAAGGTGTATTGGCCGGACAGAGATGTAACTTGCCGGCATATGATTATAAAACAAATTCTTTGTAAGTCACACTAGAAGCTTATTTACTTTTTATTTATTTTAAATATATAGCCCACAGATTTCTTCCAAGATGACTCAAAAATACAATTATTTTACATAATGAATAACAATTAAAATATATACAGAATTACAATACATAGTTATTAACATAAAATTACATATACAGAATAAGATAAAATAATGAGATATTTGGAAAGAAAATTAAAGGTTAACTTGTGTAGATGGAGATTATTTGACTAGGTGAAGTGTTGTGAATATCTTTCGTTCATTATTAATTAAGTTAAAGTTAGAGGACATAAGTAAAATAGGCGAATTTAAGAGAGAATTAGATTTAGGAGTAGGATAATTGAAAAATAATTGTGAACGCTTAGATAGCCTTGGAACATTAAAGGATAGTTGGTTAAGAATAAGAGGACAGTCTATAGAATTATTGCAAAGTTTAAATAAGAACATAATTGTACATATAAATCGACGTGAGGCAAGAGAAGGAATACCAAATTCTTTTAGTAAAGTGTTGTGGTCAAAGCCATGTTCAGGGTAAATTTTATATGTTTTATAATAAAGATATGGCAGAAATTTTCGCTGAACCTTCTCTATCGCATCAGAGTTGTTGATTTGATGAGGATACCAAGTAATCGAACCGTATTCTAATTTTGAACGTACATGCAATCTAGTTTGAATAGTACATGCAAAGAAGTGCATTGTTAGAATTAAATTGTTTACAATTTCTCAGTATCAAACCTAAAGATTTATGTGCTCTATTACAAATATCAGTTATATGGTTATAAACCAGAATTAAATAAAACTTCTGAATCTGAAATTTTATTACATCTATCAATGCTGGTGTTAGAAGTTTTATAGTCAAAATGTATTGGAACGCGCTTATGTGAAACACTAAGAATCTTGCACTTTGATATATTTAAATGCAATTTGTTAAAGACACACCAAGAATGGAAAGAGTCAAGTTGAGACTGTAATAATAAGCAGTCATAAATAGAATTTATTTTGAGATATAGTTTCAGATCATGTGCAAATAATAAATGTAGACAGCTAATAATTTCAGATGTCATTAATAAAAATAATAATAAATAGTGGTGGGCCAAGAATGGATTCCTGAGGAACACCTGAACTGATATTTTCATTGATGCTCAAGAATCCATTAAGATAGACAACCTGTTTACGATTATGAAGATAACTATTAAAAAAATAAATAAGTGAATAATTAAGACCAATCTTAGATAATTTAGTAAGAAGAATGTTATGATCAATTTTGTCAAAAGCTTTACTGAAGTCAGTGTAAATAACATCAACTTGTCCATTAGTGTCAAGATTCTTAGCTATATATTGTTTAATACAGATTAAATTTGTTATCGTAGAACGGGCAGGCATGAATCCATGTTAATTAGTAGAAATTAAAGAAAATACACAATTTTATTGAATAATATTGTTGCAGATGTCCAGAGCGGATGGTTACAATTTATCCAGCTGATGTAATACTGTTTGAGGGAATATTAGTATTTTATTTCCCGGCAATAAGGGATTTGTTCCACATGAAATTGTTTGTGGACACTGATTCTGATACACGTTTGGCTAGAAGAGGTAATTGTTTATTAATTTGTAGTAGATACTTAATTTAATACATTAAATAAATTCATTTAATAATATCAGATTATTTATAGTTATTGTATTTATTACTTATAACTTAAAAAAGAATAACAAATACCATATTTTCAAGTTTATTCATTTTACTTTGTTATTTTAAATACTTAATTTATAAATGTTATGTTGTATTTTTTTAATGATTTAATATGTTTTAGATTTTTAATGATATCTTTTTATATTTTAGTCCCAAGAGATATAAATGAAAGAGGACGAGACTTAGATCAAGTTCTCAATCAATATATGAATTTTGTAAAACCCGCATTTGAGGAATTTTGTTCACCGGTAAGAATATCATAACATTAATCTTTATATAAACACAATAATTAGAAATATATCAAAATATTATATATTATTTATTAATTTGAGATTTATGTTATCGTCTTGATCATGTAATTAAGTAAGTGGCATGTGTTAATAGAAAAATTATATAATAATTTATGAGTAATTAATCATTATACATTTTGAGGACTGTATAAATTTACTATAAAATTGCTTTTCACAGTCAATTATTAATTTTTTATAATCAGTCTAAATTGATTTTATTTATTTTTTAGACTAAGAAATTTGCTGATGTTATAATTCCTCGAGGAGCTGACAATACCGGTGAGTGACTTAATTATTTTTATACACACGATATTCTTAACTTTACAAACTAGATGAAGTAGAAAATTCTAAGCGATGATAAACAGATTATCAAAGACAATTTAGATTGATTGTCTTCTTTATTAAGATTTTGTGTATCATTAGTTGAACATTGTAACAGAAATATTTAATTTGCAAAATGATTTGATTTAATTGCAGTTTTGACAATCGCTCTTAGTTTTTTACTTCCCCTTTTATTTATATATACAGTATCAGACAATTCTTTTTAACATAAATCATTCTTATTAAATTATAGCCATTAGTTTTAGTCAGAATTTTTAAAATTTTAAATTTTCTGTGATTTTTTTTATTTAACTTTAAATCTAACAAATTCTAAACTGAATGAAGTTAATGCTTAACCCTTTTGCCACGAGACATTTTCCCAGTTGAGTGGCACTGCTGTACGAGCCAGCAAGCAATCCTCAAAGTATTTTTTACACATGTTTTAAGATTTCCCAACTATCATCAATGGAAATGCAATTTAAAATTGAGATTCTCATTTAAAAACTAAAACAATTCAGTCACAGTTTAGAATTCTCTATAATTTGACATAGAGTGTTAAATATTGAAACAAGAGTACGCAATTCGCAACTACGCAATCGATGTCGTCTATAGGCGACACTCGTAGTGAAAGGGATTAATAATATCTGAATGGGCTATAATTTAATTTCGTACGTTTTACATCTAATAATGGCTATTATGTGCTCTTTTCAATAATGTTACAAAATATATTCTTGTTTCTTTGTGAATATGTACCTATATTTATACTTTACACTCGTATTTATTTCTTCGAAAACTAACAAAATGCAATGCTATGATATGGTTGATTTATTGAGGATTTGAAAATTACTACGTATTAGAATAGTCATTTACGGGGCAATTTTGCTGTAACAGTGCTAATAAAATAGCGTTGTCATGGTAACGCTCTTTTATGCTTGTTCTTGGTATTGAAAATTATGAAAATGTCTATCTATTTGCCGTGCGATCAGGCGTATTTTAAATATAAACAAGCAAGGAATAATGTTATGGTAACAGAATTATAGATGGTTTTGTTTATATATAAAATACGCCTGACCGTACGACAAATAGATAAACATTTGTGATATATAAAAAAATAAAAATTGATAAACATTTTTGCGTTGCCATGACAACGCTATTTTATAAGCTGTGTTACGGCAGAATTGCCCCATTAATTTTGTTGACTATAATTATATTTTAAACATATGTTTATTAATTTGTCTACGTCAAAATATAAAACGTTCTATACAAGAAAATGATTTCTTATATTGTTTAGTATATTAGTTTTATGATAGAATTTCTTGGTTGAAAGTTTATATTTTTTATTTGAAGCATGTGGAGATGTTTGGCAATTTGTTGCTATCTAAATTACAATATTTTTCTGGGGTATAACAAAAAAAAAATGGTTTTAGTATGAGTAGAAGAAATTCTTTTGTTTTGGGCTAAATTGAAAGAGTATATTCCAGTAGACATATTTGCATGCTATGATGGTCCTTAATATGGATATTCCGAAATTCTTTGCTTTCTGAGGCTTAAATGCTTCCAAAGTGATGAAAAAACTAGTGGTGTATGGCATCGTGCCTTAAGGCAAATTGCTGGAACTTTTCGTACCGTAATAAAATATTCGAGAAATTTTGAACGCTTTCAAATATATCATTACAAATACTGTAATTTTAATTATTTTTGCTGTCTTGTTATATCTGAACAAATCAAATGTAAATCATAAATCATAAATCAATTTATCTCCAGAACATTAACAATCGTCATTTCATTTCAAATTCAATTTAAAAAAAATAGTTGCCTAATAATTTACACAAAATTGAAAAGTGCTCCCGTCTAGTCACAGTCTAAACGCATTGGCAAATAATTCTGTGCGACATTTTCACTTATACTATGCTTAGCTTGGCGGCATTTTCACATTTTTCAATAGTGTTTTCACAAAATCGGAAAAGTGCACCAGAGTGGCGCTTAGACTGTGCTTAGCCTGGATAATTTTTTGAATTTTTAATCCAAAATTACAAAAATATTTTATGGAAAACAAAAAAAAGATATAATAATTTTTTATCCTCGAAAGCAATTGTTTTGTCAATACAAGAAGAACGTTTTTTAGATCATTCAAATCGGACGCTTAGTTCACTCAAAAACTGCCATTTTTTGCACACTTAGCTCTGTATCTTCGAAATGGCGGAACCTGTCTTTGCCAAAAACTAATCACCTCTTTTCCCAATCATTACAAATTGAATGTTTTTTAGATCATTCAAATCCGATACTCCGTTTTTTTCAAAATCTCGATTTGTATTTTCTGCACTCTTTGCTTCGTATCTCCGTAACGGCTGGACCTGCCTTTGCCAAAAACTAATCAGCACATCTTCCTATCAATAGGGATCGAATGTTTTTTAAACCATTCAAATCGGTTGATCCTGGCGCCCGAAAACGCGGACGAAAAAATGCGGACATACAAAACACACACACATCCATTTTTTCTGAGGTATGCCAAAATGTTCAGAAACCTTCAAAACGTCGAGAAATGCAAAAATTTTCATTTTTCGATTTTCGGCCCATTACTATAACTACCCTATGGGAAGTTGAAAATTCTCTGAACGTTTTAAGTTTTAATATTAACTTTAAGATAGTTCACACTCCAACCAAAGTTTCTTGGTTTTTCGTCCTAAGTAAATACATATTTTATAAAATATATAAAATTTTTATTTATGATCCAAATAAACAAATACAATGTTATTCTCTAAATTTTGAATCACATGTCGCTATGTTATAAAATTCTGAAAAACAAATGGAATTTTACCCATGTTATTTTTATAATAAACTTTGGTTAGAGTGCGGATTATCTTAAAGTTAAATTGAAGAGCTAAAACTTTGAGGGAATTCATGTTTACCATTTTGGAAGCATTTGAGCCCATGGGAGCAAAGAAATTCGAAAATGTTCATAATAAGGACCACCGTAATGCACACAGTTGAAATTAAAAAAAAATGTGCTCCCTCACTTTCTTAAACTAATGGCTTCTATATGGTGCACCTTTGATTTATAATCTGATTGTATCAAACAGAGGCTTACTGTTATATCTTAAAAAGTACTACATAGAAGCAGTTGGACAATCTAATGCATTACTTTGTCATGATTATGCAAAAAGACATTTTCTTTAAGCTCGAGTCTAGCCAAAGTAGGAAATAATAAACCTCATACGTATTGAAATCTCATCAGTGATCAATTTCATCTCGAAGATGATTCGAATCAAGTGTAAATGATTTATAAATTTATTTGTCATATAACTATTGTCTATTACACTCGTGTGTGATCCGTTGGTGGTTTTTTGTGTCGTTGCAGTGGCCATTGAGCTAATTGTGCATCACATTCAGGATCTTTTGCTTCCGTCCAGGCCAATGAATGGAATCGGCAACGGCAACGGCACACACTCTTCTTCCGATAGCTCGTAATCGAATTACATGGTTAGTGGTTGGTTTGTCGACATCATCTAGATAGTCCAGTCATTTGGTCGTTTTGCCGGTACAGTACTCCGGGTAATCTTATAGATTTCGAGGTTCTCTTTACGAAAATCAACTTTGCCACCTCAAATTTGAATGGCAAGTTGCCGCCATATTGGAAAAATGGCGTCAAAAAACAGCTTTTTCAAAATATCTCCTTTCTGGCTCATTCTACGATAAAAGTATCTATGTACGAATTAAACTAGATAAAATTTCCTACAATTCTTTAGAAAACCGTTTTTTGTAAAATTGATAGTTTGAGAGTACGGCCGCCTCAAAGTCTTTGCTGCTCTCGCCCTAGTATCAAATCTCTCCATATATGACAGCACTTTGAACTTGACCATATTCTTTCTAATAAATAAATATTTTCAATGTTAAATTAAGTGAATAAGATCTAGAAATAAAATAATTCAAAAAATTTTCTGTTTTTAAGCTGATTTTTTAACACTTCAAGCTACTTACTTATAGTTACTTTGCCATTGAAGTGTTAAAAAATCAGCAAAAAAACAGAAAAATATTTGAATTATTTAATTTCTATATCTTATTCGCTTAATTTAACATTGAAAATATTTATTTATTAGAAAGAATATGGTCAAGTTTAAAGTGCTATCATATATGGAGAGATTTGATACTACGGCGAGAGCAGCAAAGACTTTGAGGCGGCCCTACTCTCAAACTATCAATTTTACAAAATAACGGTTTTCTAAAGAATTGTAGGAAATTTTATCTAGTTTAATTCGTACATAGATACTTTTATCGTAGAATAAGCCAGAAAGGAGATATTTTAAAAAAGCTGTTGTTTGACGTCATTTTTCCAATGTAGCGACAACTTGCCGTTCAAATTTGAGGTGCAAAGTTGATTTTCGTAAAGAGCACCTCGAAATCTATAAGATTACCAATTTTCAGAATTCCCGGAGTACTGTCCCGGCGACAGCCTTTTTTTGCATCAAATGACTGGACTAAGATCTGAATAGCATTAATAAATAATAATTATCATAATTATAAATTCGGTTTCGGTAATTATTTGTTAGGTACGATCAATTTTCGCGCGGGGCGTACAATCGTTTTGTCTCGAGCAGCAATATTTGCAACGATCTGGCAACAGCGCGTTGACGATATTAGTAGTAGTGACATCTTCAGACTCCGATGATGGATTTTTATTTGTTCATATTGTTGATTGGTTGGCTTAGGATGAAACGATTGTATACCTCGTGTTTACGGTCGTTTGTATGTAGATATCTTTGTATAATTAGATAATTTTGTTAGGTGAGGTAGTAATACTTTTGTGTTCCATTATTGCTCTTAATTAGTTTTTTATTTTATTATAATTATGGAAATTATATTTGTTGTAATAAATTTAATAGTTAGTCGTTAGTTGATTTACGTGTAAAAATCTTTAAGGGGCACAACTAGTGTGAAATTTTCAAAAAATCGAATTTTCA